GGATCTCCAAAGCCCAGTCCTCCATAAATGCAGTGAAAAACTGGCAAAAACTGTCACAATCAACCTTCTTGGGATTTGGGAAACTAAAGCTTGCAGCAACCAGGGAAACACTTAATCAAGAATTCCAGGAATTTCAGTAAGAATAGTGAGCTTTGTGGTAATTTAATTTACACTAGTCCCATCCCACTGCTCTCCAGCTCAGTGATAGCCTTGAAAATGAGACTCTGCACTTGCAGCCCCAGTACCAGAGAGAGCAGAACAGGCCTCATTCTGCAAGAACTGTAATTACTTGTTTTGATCTGTCTGGTGGCTTCCAGGAAGACTTCCTGTTCACAACAAGAACAACAAATCATTTGCCTTACCTCATTTAACTCAGAACTCAACCAATGTGAAAAGGGCCACACTGACAACACTTACAGGGAAATGATTAGTCAATGCTACCTGAGGCAATGGGAAACAGTAGGACTAAGCAAATAAACTCAAACACTTTTGAGAAAAGGCTGCGCAGTGAGATGCTCTAGGGAATATGGCTTTGAACAGCTCTATTGACATATTCCTGGGAATCTAGAAAACCACACACCTGCTATGCACATGCTCAGGAGAGACCTGAGAAGTTCTCACTTCTGGCTGATCTGGAGGCTCTGCAGAAGCAGGAAGTTAAGGCTAAAGCAGACTGGTAGAATGCCTGGCTGAGAATAGAAGGTATGCCACAACACATACATACAGATGCTTTGCAAAAACTGGGTAATGTTTTTAGTCCTGGGTATTTACAAAAACCTCTGTGCAATAATTAGTGGACCATTAAGCTAATGGAATAATGACCTCAGAGACAACACAATACAGACTTTAAAAAATTAGTTCAGAAAAGTTGCTAAACTAACAAATGACAACAATATCAGAAAGGCAAAAGAATGAGAAGACACTCCATGCAAACCATAACCATAAGAGAGCTGGGGTGGCTATACAAGTATCAGAAAAACATACCTGAAGACAAAAATTGTTGTGAAAGAAATGGATATTATATAATGACAAAAAGTTCAATCAATTAAGAAGATACAGAAATTTATATAAATACATGTAAATCTAACAACAGAACCCCAAAATACATGAAGCATGAACTGACAGAATTTAAAGGAGAAATACAAAATAAGGAGTTCAGCAAGTCTGCAGATATATGATGAACACATAGTTAATTGTATATCTAGACACTAGTAATGAACAACAGAAAGTGAAAACAATCCCATTTACAATAGCATGAAAAAGAATAAAATACTTCAGAATAAATTTAACAAAATTAGTACAAGACTTACACATTCAATGGAATCCCTATTAAAATACCAACAGCATCTTCAATGAACTAGAGCAAATAGTTCTAAAATTCATATGGAACCACAAAAGATCCTGAATAGCCAAAGCAATCCTGAGAAGGAAGAATAAAGTGGGGGGGGGGATCTCGCTCCCCAACTTCAAGCTCTACTACAAAATCACAGTAATCAAGACAATTTGGTACTGGCACAAGAACAGACCCATAGACCAGTAGACCAGATTAGAGAGCCCAGATATAAACCCAAGCATATATGGTCAATTGATATACAATAAAGGAGCCATGGACATACAATGGGGAAATGACAGCCTCTTCAACAACTGGTGTTGGCAAAACTGGACAGCTACATGCAAGAGAATGAAACTGGATTATTGTCTAACCCCATACACAAAAGTAAACTCAAAATAGATCAAAGACTTGAATGGAAGTCATGAAACCATAAAACTCTTAGAAGAAAATATAGGCAAAAATCTCTTGGACATAAATATGCACAACTTCTTCATGAACATATCTCCCCAGGCAAGGGAAACAAAAGCAAAAATGAACAAGTGGGACTATATCAACCTAAAAAGCTTCTGTACAGCAAAGGACACCGCCAATAGAACAAAACGGCAGCCTACAGTATGGGAGAATATATTCATAAATGACATATCTGATAAGGGGTTGACATCCAAATTACATAAAGAGCTCACACAGTTCAACAAACAAAAAGCAAATCAGCCAATTAAAAAATGGGCAGAGGAGCTGAACAGACATTTCTCCAAAGAAGAAATTCAGATGGCCAACAGGCACATGAAAAGATGCTCCACATCGCTTGTCATCAGAGAAATGCAAATTAAAATCACAATGAGATATCACCTCACACCAGTAAGGATCGCCATGATCCAAAAGACAAACAACAACAAATGTTGGCGAGGATGTGGAGAAAGGGGAACCCTCCTACCCTGCTGGTGGGAATGTAAATTAGTTCAACCATTGTGGAAAGCAATATGGAGGTTCCTCAAAAAGCTCAAAATAGACATACCATTTGACCCAGGAATTCCACTTTTAGGAATTTACCCTAAGAATGCAGGAGCCCAGTTTGAAAAAGACATATGCACCCCTATGTTTACTGCAGCACTATTTACATTACAATAGCCAAGAAATGGAAGCAACCTAAGTGTCCATCAATAGATGAATGGATAAAGAAGATGTGGTACATATTCACAATGGAATATTATTGAGCCATAAGAAGAAAACAGATTCTACCATTTGCAACAACATGGATGGAGCTGGAGGGTATTATGCTCAGTGATATAAGACTCCAGGTGGAGAAAGACAAGTACCAAATGATTTCACTCATCTGTGGAGTATAACAACAAAGAAAAAAACTGAAGGAACAAAACAGCAGCAGACTCACAGAACCCAAGAAGGGACTAACAGCTACCAAAGGGAAAAGGGACTAGGGAGGGTGGGTGGAAAGGGAGGGATAAGGGGGAAAACGGGACATTACGATTAGCACACATAATGTAGTGAGGGGGGGACACGAGAAATGCAGTATATACAGAGAAGACAAGTAATGATTCTATATCATCTTACTATGCTGATGGACAGTGACTGCAGTGGGGTATGTTTGGGGGACTTGATAATAGGGGGAGTCTAGTAACTATGTTTAAGTAATTGTACATTAACGATATCAAAATTAAAAAAACAAAAAAACAAAAAAAAAGAATATAGCAAGTAGACAGTTTTTACAGAAGGCTTTTTAACATTGCTTACTTCTCCACATTCTGCAGTATAAAATAAAAGTCTACTTCTTGAAAAAAAAAAAACAAAAGGAGAAATTGGAACTCTCATATATCACTGGTGGGAAGGTAAAATGGTAGAAGGCACTGTGGAAAACAGTTTGGCATCTCCTCAAAACATTAAACATTGAGTTACCATCTGATCCAGGAATTCCAGGTACATACTCAAGGGAACTGAAAATGCACTTTCACAAAAAAACTTGTTCATGGATGTTCACAGCAGCATAATTCAAAATATAAAAAAATAGAAACCATAATCTATCAGATAAAAAAATTGTGGCATTTCCATACAAATGGGGTATCAGTCAATCATGTAAAGGAATGAAGTACTGATGCAATGCTAACAAGTGGATGAGCTTCAAAAATATTATGCTAAATGAAAGAAGCCAGACACCAAAGGCCACATTTTGTAGGATTCCACTTACATGAAATGTCTCCATAAAGACAGAAGGTAGATTATTAGTTGCTAGGGACAGGAGGTATGGGGTACTGGAGAGTAATAACTGTCTAATGCTTATTAACGGGGTTTCTCTTAAGGTGACAACAATTTTCTGGAATTAGATATTGGTGACTGCTACACAATATTGTGCATATATTAAAATCCACTAAATTGTACTTTAAAATGACTAAAATGGTGAATGTTTGTTTTATGCATTTTGTCATAAATAACTAAGTACATAGGTAGGGAAATACCTAAAACATTGCTTAACTGAAAATTACATTCCTGTTCAGCTGGAAAGCCATTCCACTATAATTTGTAATAATGTAAGACATCTGTCAAATCTTTAAAAGTATGGTTCCAAATTTCTAGATCCTCCTAATACATATACAAAGATACAAATTCATCTTAGGCTTAGAAATTTACATGAGGAGCCTAAGACAGCAATTAAGTTGTTTTAATGACAGTTATTATACAGGATGAGCCCATCAGTGAATATTGGAACAATTTGAACAAATTACCTCCAAAACCCTACAAATAAGATGTAGACTTTCCCTATGAAGCTTGACTTTTTAATCAGCATCTATGGCAGAAAATTTGCAAAATGTGTCAACTATTTCTAAGGCCTTTTAGAAATCACTGAGGAACTGCCAAAATGAAGCTAATGTCAAAAAAATATTTATCATGTATCAAAATTGGAAATTTTTATCCTGTTTTAGGAATACGTCTGTGGTTGATAATGATCCCAACCAGCTTCACACATTATCTTTAATCACTGCAAGCTTAATGGAAACAGCTGGACAATGTTTCTATAGTCACACCAATGGTTAGTTTTGGAAGTTGTATAACTTGGAATTACTAAGATTTTCATATCAGTGAAGGTCCACAAAGATACTCTTTGGAAGTACCTAAGTATTTCAAGATAAAAATTCAATTTACCTTAAAACACTTAGTTTAGCAGAATCAATTCTGTTAAACCCTGCAAATTGTGACATGGGAATCAGTGTAACTGCGTGTCAACTGCCTGAAAGAAAGCACCAGGATGAGTGACATGAGGGTGCAGCACTGACGCCGGCTGAGGAAGCCACCACCTAGGGAAAGCTCTAATTAACAAATGGAGCTTAACTCAAAAGGATGAATCACTAAAATCCATCTCCCCAGATGAGACAGGACAAAGCTGCTTGAATCAACAGCCTCCTCAAATCAGTCAGATCTTAAATATTGCAAAACAACAATAAAATACTCAAAGGGGCACTATGCTTCAACAACAAGTATGAAAAATGAAAAACCACAATAGAGAAGGGGGGGATCTCAGTATAAGTAAGGTCCAAGAAAAGATTACCTTTAAAAGACTATTAAATTCAGTAAGACTATTCTTATCAAATCAATAAATATTGATACTTTCTACAATCAACTAATCCCAAAAGGAAAAAAGGAAAAGAAAGACATTTACCTCTTCCAAGCTAGGGAGCGAAGAAGAAGATACTGTTCGAGATGACAATGGGTGAAATGGCTCTTGACCAACAGCATGTTGGTGATTCTGTATTTGTACAAAAGGGTTTTGCGGTGGCCTGTGAGGCAACGGAGGTAGCCCGTAGGGAAAACCCGGCCCCATTAGGTGATTCTGCTGTAAGTTAGCAAAAGTCCATGCTCCATCAGGTGCCAGGTATTTCAAGGGAGGAGGGGCCAGGTGTTCAGACGGCAAGGAGAAAGGTGAGCTGAATATCTGGGGCGGGAGACGCTGCGGAAATGCTGGGCTGTTGGCTACTTCAACATCTCTGCTGTTGTCGTTAAAGTTAGAAAAGTGGCTACTGTGGTCTGTACTGGATGGGGGAGAGGGGACTGCTGGTGGACTCCTAGTCTGAATTTGTCTATATTGCAAAAGTCTTGATTGAGGTGGCGGCATTTCAGCTAGTTCCCGAGTTTCACTTTGATCACGATTAGACAGTTCTCTGATTAAATCTTGAAACCTACATAAAGACAGCGAAATAGGAGGAGACAGCAAGAAAAGCTCCATCACATTAGGAGAACTTAGTCAAAACGACATGTGCAATATTTACAAACAAATCATAATATTTAATTAGAACATTAATTAACCTCAAAAGTGAGCATTAATACTCAACAGATGCTGAATTAAAGACACTAAATATGCCCAACTACCTGATTTCTTTCTCTCTGCTTGATATTAAAAACAGCTGCTTTGTTTCTCTATGCCTTTAGTAACCGGCAGTTGTAAAAGGTCGCCATAATGGTGGACCTTATTCAGAAGGGATTAGAACGCACTTCACTGAATTCACATGACCTTAGCCATAAAAACAAGTTTAGAATGAGGATGTAACACTCATAACCATCTGTAGTTAAAAGAAGGCAGAATTCGGTGCTACTAAGAAAAAAATATATTGATGCTAAATTTATATCTTTTAATCATTACACTGATTTACTTCTGTCCTCATTCATTCTTTGTATTACTACTGAGTATGAAAAAAACACAGCGATGGTATATTTCTCCTTCAGAAGAGATCACAAAGCAAGGGGCCACAATAATTTGCAATCCACAGCAGATTATCCGGGCCTAGATTTGTACAAGAGGTACTTCCAAATGGATTCTCTATATTTTAGGGTAAATCAATAGACCTGTGCAGCATGTGCCTAGAAGGCCAGCATCCAATTTCTTTGGGACCAACAGTCCAACTTAAGGCTAAAAAGAACTACATTCAAGGAAGAAAATTGTGGGAGAGCAGTAGGAGGTCACAGAAGCTGCCTCTGGACTGCTGCTACCTCGAGTCTGGTGCTTCTGCTTCATCTTCGGCACTGCTGGGGAGCTTCCAGTCTGCTCTCACTGGCGGCTGATGCAGCCCAACGGGCGGCTGCGGAAGCTGCTGGAGCGGGGGATGAGGATGGTGGTGGTGTGGGTATGGAATACTGCCCTGACCGAGAAAGGCGTGGTGCTCACTCCACTGTTGCAACCGCACTTGCTGCTGCCGTAATGTTTCCAGGGCTACACTCCCATGCATACGGTCTGCAAAAACATTTGGGAGAAGTTTCGGTTTTCATATATTTGGGGTTTCAAGGTAATCTTTTCAAGAGTTTTTACAACCAGATCTCCTCCACAAAGACAAAGAAATGGCTGCAATTTGGGTTTCAGAGAAAGCAAATGTTTTCTGATTTGGCCAGTAACATGGTAATGATAATGATGAGCCTTCCTTACCTGCACAATGATGTGAACTGGCATCCACTGGATGCTTAGTATTATACAGTATCTGGAACTAGATTCTGATTATTACACTAAGTGGCCGGCATTATGCAAAGAAATCAATCAATCCTGACCAAGTTAATACTGTATAGTACATGTCATTTTAAGTAATCTCTAGATGTGAATCTGTTGCATCTAGCAGTGACAGGAGAACTTACCTAAAGCCTCCCCTATAGGCAATCCTGGGGGGTTCTCATCGGTGAAGTTATTCAGATGTGAAGGAAGAATGGGGCCGGGTTGCGTGATGGCTCGCAGAGGACTAGGGCCTTCTTGCAGCATGGGAGGGGGCTGCTGCTCAGGAATCACAGCCTCCACAGGAGGGGAGTGTGGTCGATGCGAAACTGCACTATTAAAAAAAGCACTGTTGGGTCCTGCCTGGTAGGCAGGAGAAAGCTGGGAAGGTGGCTGCTGAGTCAGCTGCTTCAATGAATTCTGCTGCTGGACTACCTGATTTGGTTGGGGTGGCATTTGATTTGGTTGCTCAGGCAAATTATTCTGCTGATTTAACAAGGCGTGCTGCTGTGGAATTGGAAATGGTGGTCTTGGCAGCTGGGGAAGGGGATGAAAATGACGATTGGGGATTGCGTACTGTGCATGGGGAGCAGGAAGAGGGAGATTTATGTGTCTTGGGTTGAGATTATCTTTGCGATGAAATTTGGTATTGGGATAAACAACACCAGGACGTGATTCAGGACTTCTGTTCTGTGGATTTGATTCCAAATCAATCTAGAAAAAAAAAAAGAAGTCTTTTTAAAATGCCAAAGATCTGCGTCCTGTGGCTCGCCAGCTTTTCCCACTGCTAGCACATCTAAAGGATATGATACATTCTTATCAGTAATAGCAAGAATGCTGGGCCCCACCCAATCAGTTTCTGGCAATCAAATAAGAGAAAAAATATTTTTTATATTAGGAAGGGTAAAACAGAAAAAACAGCATACTAAATTTGAATCATAAGAGATTCTGCCATTTTATTAGCATATCCACCTTAATTCCTTTAAAAATATTATTTTTAATTTCATACTGTCTTCTCTGGAAAGATAACCATTTATTTCCTTCTGATATAAGTCATTGTGTTCTTTCCTCCAATTTTATTGTTTTCATATATCTCTTTCCTCAAACATATCTATATTAATTAATAAAACCCCACTTGTCTCAATTTAAACAACTTTGAAGTGAACAAATATTAAATTACCTTTGTACAACCTGTTTGGTCGTTAATTTTTGTCATCAGGTATTGACATTTACTCTCTCAACAAACTTTTTACCGAGGGCCTACCAAGGGCATTGTGCCTGCTGGAAATTTAAAAAGCAATAAGAAGACTTACCTGTACCCTCAAGAGCTTAGAGCAGGGGCTGGCAAACTAGGGCCCCCACCACACTTCCAGCCCACTGGATTTTTGCAGATAAAGTTTTATTGGAACACAGCCACACTCGTTCATTTACGTATTGTCTATGGCCGCTTTCTCACTATAATGGAAGAATTGAGTGTCTGCAACAGAACCCTTGAGTGTTTGCAACAAAAATTGTATGGTCCACAAATCCTAAAGATTTACTACCTGGCCTTTCACAGAAAAAGTTTGCTAAGCCCTGGCTTAGAGACCGGTAGAGGACACCAACATGTAAACATAAAATTAGAAGTGCTGTAAAAAGATGTGATGCAAGATCCTAGTGCCTAAGAAAATTAAAGGTGGCTTCACAGAGTCCATGGCATTTGAACTGACTCTAGCATAAAGAGCTGGAATTTACAAGTAAGAGAAGGACATTCTGGGTAAAGGTAACAGTTCATACAAAGAGAGAGGAGAAAAAGTATGGTAGATTTGAGAAGCACGAGAAGCTTTATGTACATGGAGCTATAACTTCTCTTGCTTATAGGTTAGTTTTCTCCATCTTGCCATCAAATAAAATTGCAAGAGCCCAATTACATAAAAAACCCTGAATAATTCAAAACTGAGTATGAACTTTTTTAATCCTCTAAACAGCAGCAAGCCACCAAAAATTTGTAAGCTAAAGAATGCTAACATCCTTTTGAAATACAAGTTTGAAACATAAGTGGTGACAATGTTAAAAATGAAATATCCAGTGGAAAGAGGCTATTTTTCTTTTCTGTATCTGTTAAAACACTCAGCGAGCTGCTTTGGTGTATCAGTCTCCTTACAAGCTTCAATGCTGAAATAGTTACTGAGGACTGCAGAGTACTTTGCTTCACCAAAGGCTCTCAAGTTAGACATGGAACTGACCCCTCCCAAGAACACAGAACAAACAAGTAGCTTGCTCCTGAAATGGAGCTGAGGTACCCCTGGTGACCAGGCTATTGCAGTAAGCGGTAGTTTTGTGCCAATCATCCCTCAAGATGCATCCCTCGAGATGCATTCTCATCTCTAATCACTAGCTTAGATGGACTGCCATTGAATCTAGCCAACACGGTCCTTAAGATCACTGGGTGTATATAAATTGTCTAGAAAAGTAAATGAGAAGCAGATGACAACTCTGCCCCCAAGCAGCTACAGTGCCTGCTCTTCAAATATCTCTGAACCGGATTAAGGTTCTTCATCAACAAACATTTTCTCCCATAAATCTTCATCTTCTTAAGCTACATTCAGGTGGGGTATACTTTTTTCCCAGAAGATACGGTTGACATGCATTCCTCTGATCACATAAGGGAGACCATGATTAGATGTCAAGGTTGTGAGTAAGCTGTTGTTTTAACTGCCTCCTTCACTTTGACATGGGCAGGAGGCCAGGCCAGCACCATAGAAACTTGGATTAAGACTGTGCTACTCTACGATACTAGAGTGGGCAAAGCAGGATAGAGGGCTGGAAGGTCTGAAGGTGTCTAAGTCTACTATTATCAGAATTAGATTATCTCCTCACTTTCCTCTTAATACTGAGGTACTGACTCATGGAGAGCTAGGAATATTTTTTCCCCTAGACCCCAGGACAAAGCACCAAGATGGGAAAAAAAATGAAACATGTCTATCAGGTTGCTGAGTCTCCTAACAGGGAAAGATCATAACAGAAATTTAAAAGCAAAGACATGAGAGACACTTAGCTATCTTGGCTTCAGTTGCTCTGATAGCACTTAAGACTTCTTGTGGTTGGTTTTGTCCTAAGCGGCCTCTGACTACAGCTGCTGCTGTACCATCCTAAGGTACCGTTTGTTCTCTCTCGGCACCTCTTTCAAAACACAAAGACTTCTACTTTCACTGCAGCGCCCCTCTTACTCCATCAGGAGTTTCCCCAGCTGCTTCATTTGCACTGCAACTCCGCCAGTGGGTACTGAGTCTTTCTAGTTGCAGAAACTGTGTGTCAGAGCTGCTCGGGGACATAAGTAACTGAATATACAGCACAGCTGCTTAAAGCAAGGCAGAGGCTGGATTCGGTAGTCATCATCATGGAGCAGGTATTTAAATTCATGGAATTGGACCAGTTTATAGTAAGAAAGAAAGAATGCAAAGAGAGGTGTAGGGCAGTGATAGAACCCCGGAAACCCCAACTTAAGGACTAGGGACAGATGGGAAGGGGGTGGACAGGAACTTACAAAAGAGACAGAAGGTCATATTAGCAAGAGCTGTGAAAACTAGAAATGTGTGTCGAGGAAACCAAAAGAAACATGGTGGCCAAGAAGAAAGAAGTAGAAAGTAGTGCCAAACACCAAAGAAAAGCCAAGTCAGACTAAACTGAAGTGTGTTCGTAAGATTTCGTCACTTGGAAATTTAACAGTTTCAGTGACATATTCAGGTCTAATACTAGACTATTCTGGTTAAGGGGCATATAAGAGATGAAGTGGAAAGGAGAAATTAAGCAGTAGCTATAAAGGAGATGAAGGCCAAAGAAAGTGTCTTTTCAGAACAGTCTATCCACCAACTTACTTACTGTTTGAGGAGGAAGAACTGGGAGCTGGAAAGGAACTAAGGATCAAGTAGGAGAAGGGATAAGGTCTGTGAGGTGACCAGAAGAGGAGAAATTAGTCTTAATGGAAACTCTTCCTCTGAGACTGGAATTCTTCCACCAGACCCTTATCTGTCTTAAGGAAGTAAGGATATTCAAGGATACAGAAAAGTGACAAGTCTAAGGTTTTAGGGTAACAGGGTGAAATCCTGATGACATAAGTCTAAGGCAAAGTCATCCCCTGACCATAAGGATAAAAGAAGGTGGGAAGTAATGAAGCATGAAAAGAACTGCTGAGAAAATTAAGCAAAGAGAGGTAGGTACACATAAAAAAAATGAAGAGGTGCTCCGTGGGTTCCCTGAGATTAGAAGACATTAATCTCTAGTAGCACTAATTCAACCAACGATTTGATTTTCCCTAACTGGTTCAAAAGCACAGAAGCAGAGAAAGTAGATGAACCAGTATATAAAGAATCAAGGATTTGTGCTGTGGGTATGAGAGAACAAGGCGAGGGACTTGAAGTTAAGAAGTTAAGTCTTCCTTCTTTACTGGAACAGCGCTTCCCATTCTGAGACAATTTTCAATGATACATCTATAGCTGTGTCCTCATTTGCTACTTAATCATGGAAAGTATCTAAATGCAAGCCTTTCACAGAATAACACAATTTGGGAAAAGCATGCTGATGAATGAAATGACGGAGCCAAAGGGAAGGCGAAGGGAGGAAGGGCAACAAGAGCCCCCAGGGCCACGTGAGACAACAGATGTCAAAGACAGACACTGAAGAGCAGGTCATTTTCTTAAAAACACCAAGATTCCAAGATGATCAACCAGACTAAATTCATTAAAACATTGAATTCACTGTATTAGGCAGCGTACCTGTTTTGATTCTGGAGGCTTTTTCTCTGGTGTTCGAATTTTATTAATCTCAGGTCCAGGGTTATTTGTTTCACTTTTACCTAAGAAAATATTTTAAAATTCTTATAAATTGTCTGCAATGGATATTACATTTCCAATGACCATCCAATATTAGACACAGATGTAGAATATTTAAAACTTTTTTCACCCACTATTAATAATGTATACTACTACTTAAGTTTTGTTCTTAAATTTTCAGAGTAGCAGTTTCTCTACAAGAAGGAAAATTTATAAATGAAGCAAACCTCACTGAAATATAAAAGCTTCCTAAGGACATAACCTTAAAATATCCAATAATCCCAAAGATAATTTCCCACTCTCCAGGAATTTACAGCCTCATTTTCTTAAACTAGACACAGAAAAGGCCTTAGCACTCTTGCATATTTCTACAGGCTTGATGCTTTGACCAATTACAAATGCAACTAAGCAAAATTCCAAATATGTCGATTAAAGTTAGTAAAGGAATATAAACTAAATAAAGATATTCTGAAAGAATGTAGTTATACTATTTAAAAGTAATAGGTATCAAACTGAATATAAGTGGGTGATGAATAGAGGAAGCAAAATTAACGTTAAGAAATCACAATTATGATAGACTTAAATAATCCTATTTCATGCCTGTGAAGGGCTTTTAATCTATAGTATTAACTGCTGGATATTTTAAATTCCTTGATAGACACTTTGATTTGGGTTCTTGTTCAAAAACATCCTTTTAAGAATGCCACTGGAACTTTGTACAATGAATTTTCATAACAACCTTACTACTAAACTGCAAGAAGTGAAAACTACAATGTCTAAGTTGAAAAATACACTAGATAGAACTAGCAGCAGATAAAACATTGCAAAGAAAAAACTTAGAAGGCATAGCAATTCTCATAACAAAAAGAAAAAAGAATTTAAAAAAATAGAAAATCATATCTGTGCACTGTGGGGAAACTTTAAGCAGCCTAATATATGGGTGGTTAGAATTCCTGAAAAGAGGAAGAGGTGAAACAGAAAAAAATCTGAGGAAATATAGGTAAAAAATTTCCAAACTTGATGAAAAGTGTAAATCCACAGATCCAAAAAGTTCAACAAGCCCCAACACAAGAACCATACAGAAAAATGCACCAAGAAATACTACAACCAAATTACTAAAACAGGTATAAAAAGAAACTCTTTAAGGAAGTCAGAAGGAAAAAGAGGCACATTATATACAGAACAACAAAGATAAGAATGACATCAGATTTCTCACTGGGAACAATGTCAGCAAGAAAACAGTAGAGCAACATCATTACAGTACTGAAAGATAAAAACTGTCAACTAAGAATTCTATACACTGCAAAAAATATCTTTCAAAAGTGAAGGTGAAATAAAAACATTTTCAGACATAGAAGTGCTTAAGGAATTTATCAACAGACCTGGACTACAGGAATGTTAAAAGAAATCCTTCAGGCAGAAAAGAAAATTCTATCAGATGGAAACATGAATATACAGAAAGAAATAGATCATTAGAAATGCTAACTACATGGATATATACAAAAGATTATTTTTCTTATTATTTAAAACTCTCTATACTGAAGTATAAAATGCATGATAACAATATCATAAAGGCCAGGAGATGAAAAACTAAAACACTGTAAGGTTCTTGAAGTGGTAAAATATAAATTGGCAAGTAGACTATGATAAGTTAAAGATGTCTACTATAAAACCTAAAGCAATACTAAAATAACAAACAGTTATAGCTAATAAGCCAATAAAGGAGATAAGATGGAATCATAAGAAATATTCAACTAATCCAAAAGAAGGCAGGAAAAAGGAAAAATGGGGTGGGGTGGGGGGGTACAAAAAACAGATTGGACAAATTAAGAACAGATAGTAAGATGATAAAATCAAACATAACTATATCAATAACTACATTAAATATAAATGGTCTAAACACCCCCAATTAAAAGGTAGAGATCATACACTAGATTAAAAGAAAATCAAGAGTCAACCATATACTATCTAAAAAAATGCACTCTAAATATAAAGACATAAATATATTATTAAAAGCAAAATGTCAAAAAAAGATATACCATGCTGAATAGTCAAAAGAAAGCTAAAGTGGCTACACTAATATTAAACAAAATAGCTTTCAGAGCAAAGAATATTACCAGGGATAAAAACAGTCATTCTATAATAATAAATGAGTTAGTTACTCAAAAACATATAATCTAAAATATTTATGTACATAATAATAGAACTTTAAAATTAATCAAACAAAACTTAAAGGAAAAGTAGACAAATACCAATTGTATCTAGAGACTTCAATATTCTTCTCAATATTTATTTTTTTTAAAGCAGATAGATTTTCAGAAAGGATATAGTAGACTATCCACCAATCAGACCTAATTAACACTTATACAGCACCCCATTCTCAAGTGTATATGGAACATTTACAAAGGTAGAGCATATACTAAGCCATGAAAAACAAAAAATCAATAAATTCAAAAGGATTCAAGTCATACAAAATATGTTCTCTTACCAAAAAGGAATTAAAGTAGGGATCAGTAATAGAAAAATTCTTAGAAAATCCCATCCTCAATCCTTAGAAAACTGGAAACTAAAGCTCACCTTTCTAAATAATCCAAGAGAAATTAGAAAGTACACTGAACTAAATGAAATGAAAACACAACATCAAAATTTGTGGGATGCACTACTGAGGAGGAAAATTTTAACAGTAAATACCTATATTGATCTAAACTTTCACCTTATCAAAATACGTACAAGGTTGTATACTGAAAACTTAAGAAAAAAAGAAAGCTGAAAGAAATTTAAAAACTTAGAGAGAGAGAGATCCTGTTCATACATCAAAAGACTCAATATTGTTAAGATGTCAATGCTCCACAAATAGACCTACAGATTCAACAAGATCGCAGCAGGCATTTTTTGTAGAAACTGACAAGCTGATTCTAAAATGTATGTGGAAATGCAAAGCACCTGGAACAGAGAATTTTGAAAAAGAACAACAAAGCTGAAGGACTTACACTACTTGATTTCAGGACTTTTATAGAGCTATAGTAATCAAGACATGCATCAACAGAACAGAACAGAGACTTTATATATGTGGTCAAGTGATTTTCAACAAAGGCACCAAATTAACTTAATGGAGGAAGGGCACTGTTTTCAACAAATGATGCTAGAACAATTGAACATATATATGCAAAAACAAAACAAAATAACAAAACCCTTCAATACTTACTTCACACTATAAACAAAAATTGACTCGAAATGGAACTAATACAATAGCTAAAACTATGAACCTTCAGGAAAAAAACACGGATGATCTTTGTGATCCTGGATTATGTAAAACAAATTTTACACACAACATGAAAAATATGACTCATAAAAGGAAAAAAATGGATAAACTGGACTTTATCAAAAATAGAAACTTCTACTCTTTAGGCAGGTACTGTTCAGAAATGAAAAGGCAAGGTACATCCTGGGAGAAAATATTTTCAAAACATATATCTAATTAATTATATCTAATTTCAAAACAAATATAATTAAGAATGTACAAATAACTCTTATAACTTAATAAGACAACAAAAGGGCAAAAGATATGAATAGACACTTCACCAAAGGTATACACATGGCAAATAAGCCCAATGAAAAGATATTGAACATTATTAATCATTAGGAACATGCAAATTAATAATATCATCAGATACTATCAGATATCCACTAGCAAGGATAACATTATTAAAGAGATTGACAAACCAAGGGTTAATGAGAATATGGAGCAACTGGAAATCTCATATATTACTAGTAGAAATGAAAAATGGTTTAGCTACTTTGGAAAATAGTATGGCAGTTTCTTATCAAGTTAACTATGAATTTACAATATGCTTACAATCTCACTCCTGGGTACTTACCCAAAAGAAATGAAAACATATGTTCACACATATGTTTATAGCAACTTCATTCATAATAGCCAAAAACCAGAAAAGGCTAGGGTGTCCCTCAGTTAACTGATAGATAAAAACATTGTGGCACATTCATATAATGGCATACTAACTGACAGTAAAATGGAACAAGCAGACACAGACAACATTAATGCATCTCAACAGCATTAAGCGAAGTGAACAAAGCCAGACACAAAAAACTAAAAACTATGTACACTGTGATTCCACATATAGACATACTAGAGTAAAAACAAAAGTACAGACACAAAAGTCAGATTAGCAGTTGCCCAAGGCTTGGGGGTTGGAAGAGACTGACTGCAAAGGGATATGAGGGAACGTCTTCAGGTAATGGAAATATCCTATATCCTGATTTTGGTGTTGGATAACAACTTTGTATATTTGTCAAAACACACACCAATATGAACATTTTAAAGGGGTATATTTTACTGTACATAAACTATACCTCAATAAACCTGACTAGAAATACAGTGGATAATTTTATAATTCTAGTAGACAAAAGACTATGATTTGCACAAGAAGTAACAATTTTAAATCAACAATTGCCACAGTAGCATTAATGTTTGATGTTACAAAAGTATTTTGAATCAACAAAATGTTTAATGCGAAAGGGTTTTCTATCTCAATTTTAAATGACTATCATTTGAAACACTGTAAATATTAAAATTCATTATTTTTTCAGGAAATTGGTAATACTAGTAAGTGGTAAATTACATGCAGTCTTTGTATCTGTATACACATTTGTGCCTTCTGGAGAGAGGATCCATAGTTTTTACAACAGATTCTTTCTCATAGAGATCTATAATCCATGAATGAGTTAAGATTCTTCCTAGTGAGGGAACTTTGTATGTTGATACAACTTGACTTACCATCAATTCAGGAACATGAGAACAGAAAAGCAACTCACCATTTCGACTTTGCTCATGTGGATCCTTCTCCTGATGCTGGTTTTGTGGTTGCCCTATGCTGACAGGTGGATGATGCCCAAGGCCATAAGGTATAGGAGAACCCCGTCCATGTGTCTGTAAGAGGTTCATATTGTAGGCCATCGCTGCCTGGTGTGTAATGATTCGAGGATCAACTGCAAATCTACCCTGGTATCCTGTCCATGGCACCTAGGTTATTGTAAGAAATAAGATAATTACATTAAGTACATCTTGGCAAAATACTGGTAGTGTTGTTGATTAGGAAAAAGCAAACACACAGAGAAATATTAATTTTTAAAAAATGAATAACTACAAAGTTGATGCTAATAGTAACAACTGGTAGAATTAGTACTATGCTTTTTGTTTGTAAGTTTTTAACTTAATTAGCCAAAAATGGTTCCCTAAATCTGTAGCATATAAGGGGAAATTGATCATTTTTCAGGTTAGGAAGAAATTGAGGACTTAAAATTGGTAGTTATTCCTTGAGGCATTAAATCATTTCACAGTCTTTTATCATTTCCCTCAATAGGAACATATAAATGTCAGAGATTACCATGAAAATTATCTTTTAAAGTCATAACTGCATAGTTATATAGCTTAACAGATTGAATAAGAGAGCAGGGAAAAAATTAAAAGAGAATTTAGTCCAAATACTCAAACTCAAAATACAGGTATTCCAACTTTACATGAAAAACCAAATCATTTAATGTTCATTTATTGTAGGCAGAATTCAAACACATCAATAATTTAATTAATGATTTAGATTAATTCAACTCTTAAAGCATAGAAACAGAAATTTTCTTTAGGTATGTCTAAATATATAATTTCTGCATATTAACATAAAAGGAATAAATACAAGACATCTGAGCTACTACCCCTATTGTTTCATTATAATATAACTTTAAATGCAGACTCTTAGAAATCTTGTAAAATAAAAGTGTCTTTGACCTAGTAAAATGAAATATAAACCCTAAGGGACTTACTATTTAAAGCAAATGATGTATAATGTTGCCAGGCTGTCTGGGAAGAAATAACTCAGCCAAAATTGAAAGTCTATGGGGAATGGGCATGAATTACGTATTTCTTACTGTTATTCTCATTGGCTGACGTGATTGTGAACTATCACAACCAATATGGCCGAGAAATGTTTGCAACTGGGCATTTTTCCCTTTCTGGGGTGTGGGCAGGGATATCAAAGATCCTTGGCAATAATCACCTCTGCCTGAAATTACAATACTTGTCTTTAATGAAATATTTTTCTAGGCTAAAATTCCTGGATTTGGAAATATCAGTATATCAGCAAATTAACAAAATTGCCAAATTATTTTTAAAATCTTAAAGGAAATAAAAACATATTTTACATAATTTGGAAGCCCTTTAAAACTTTGTAGTCTTAGAAAGGACTTAACAATGTTTTTAAGTACCAGTGGTCTCAGATAAATTTAGATCCAAGAAAGCTAAACTAATCCAAGCCTTTTTGTCTCCTCCAAACAACTGATTTCTTAGGAAGGATCAGTGAGTTACACAAGAATTTTAAAAAAGCAAAAAACAAAATTAAAGTATCACTTTACAAAACAAGAGACCAATTTACTAGCTCTGTTAACTTTTCGCCCAATTTTCCCCAGTAAAAATATTTTAAAGGAATACAAAGGCAAAACATCCAATTTATAGATTTCTTCATAGCCACTGACAATCCAGTATCACATTGTAAGCAACGATTCAAATTTCTTTGGTCATCTCAAAATATGAAGGTTAAAGATAAGAGCTGCTTTAAAAGAAGCTTATAGGCACTAAAGTTAAAAAAAAAAAAGAGGTTCCTAGAACCCTATTTGGGATAGTTACTAATTTAGTGAAGGCTATTTTATTTTATTCAATAGTAAGTATCTCAAACGTCACTTACAGGTAAAGGCACCGACATAACTACATTCCCTCCATAGACGGCAGGTACATAAAGAATACTTGTCCCAGTGTGAGGATCTATTCTTTGAACAGGGCTTGGAGATTTCCCCAAATTTGGGTGAGGTCCAAGAGGGGGCGGAGGAGTATATGCTCTAATAGGATTGCCAATAAGTACGGAAGGATTGGGTTGAACTGAAAAATAAAGAGAAAGGATGTACTTAACAGCTATACATATTCACCTAGACAGAAATAATTTAAATCATCCAACAGCAAAATAAATTTCCCAGGTTTGTCATAAGCTATATTATAATCAAAGAATTACCAGTATGGAAGACTCAAGCATATTTTTAAAAAATAACCATTTTATAATGTTCCCTAAAATTAGCTTGCTACAGACAAAGTATTCCTTTTGTAAACTGGCATAATTTTAAATGTCTTCTGAGGAGCTGGAGATGTGTCCTTTAACAGAGAAAACCATCCACATACACACATTCTCAGCAAACATTCTTCTAAGACTAGGAAAATATATACTATTCTTCAGAATAAAGTTTTGACTTTAGTAATACAACCACAGACAAGATGATGCTGAGGGAATTATTATGTTAAAAGATGATTCTGCAACATTTTAAATCACTTAAACTTTATCTTGAAATTTGTATGAGCCAACACTTGTAGGATATAAATATGTTGCAAAACCTTATGTTGCATAGAAGGCTTAAATGATTTTCCTCAAAACTTCTAGATATGTACCTAGGTACCTACAAACTCACTCCTTTTCAGAAATGACATATCAAAGCATTCACAAGACTGCACGTGCTGAATAAGAGTTAAGTGAGTTCCAAAGTGTGTGTGTGTCTATGTGCATGTGTCCATCCCTCTCGCCATACTCCTCTTTCTATTGATAAAATTGGGGGTAAATATTATATCATAAAAGCAAGTTTTCAAAGGGCTAATTTTTCCACTTACCAATTCCATCATTCTGGAAATGATCATTCTGAGTATGATGGAGGCTTTTCCCCTTTACAGAAAAAAAAAATGTATAATAACTTAAATACATTTAATATTAGAAAACAATAATCATTTTCCTAATCCTATTCAAATTAAATATATACAGCAATAATTAAAATGTAAAGACTGTGAGTCTGTAATTAGTAACCATTAGAATTCTTCTAGCCAACATTCTTTTTAAACATTAAGTCATGGTGCTGGGCCTCAAGTTTCCTCAGCTTCAAATTATGGACTTCTAAAATTTTTATTTTTTTTAATGAATTTTATTTGTATAAAAAGAAATACACAATGATGAAAACCTAAATTATATTCCTTTGCAGCTTCTCTGGAAATTTTCTGTGAATTAAATGATTAAATATGAAAGTTGATAGTCAAGGGGAAAAATCAGTCTTCGGTTATTTAGAATGAGAAACTTTAAAACAGTAACATGAATGTAAGTACAGTTTGGGATATATGATATTTTGATATGATTCATGGCATCTTAAACTGTAAAATTTACTGAAGGAACAAGAAACGACACACCATCATAATTTGCTTAAGAAAATGTACAAATTTTCTAGAAACCTATTTGGTAATATATATCAAAAGCATCAAAAATATGTGTACACTTTAACATAGTAATTCCACTTTAGGAATTTATCCAAATGAAATAATAATGGATTTAGGACCAGACGTTCATCACAACACTATCAACACTATTTATACATGTGATAAAATGTTAACCTAAATGTCCATCGATGGAGCATTTATTAAGTAAGCAATGGCTGATTCAAGTAGTGGTGGTATACTATCTACCATTAAAAATGATGACTTTGGGGCATAAATACTTGAAGAGAAAATGGTTCTAAATTTCTGGGCTTTAAAAAAATTTCTTTCTCTTTCCATTGGCTGGCTAATGTAACCCATAAAGCCATTTTACAACACAAGTAACACATTATACAACTTTTAGACACATACAAATTTGCTGTTTGTACATTACATCTGAAAACTAAAGGGGGAGATAATGTCTATAGCAGGAAGAAAATTTCATTCTTGACCAAAGCAAAAGCCTAGCGATGCTTCATTTATCTCCTGTCTCACTGTCAGCAACATCAAATATTCAGGTCAGCACTAAACATCAAAGACTTGTGATCAGTTGGCTAGTTACGGGTGGGCAAGAGTAGCTGAGCCCTGACTCTTAAAAAATCAGAGAAAGTAGTCAAAAAAGAATCGCAGTTGATCCATTAACCAAAAGAGAATGTTCGCAGCAATTGGCACTAGCTATAAAACACAAACTTCTGAGGAATAGAGAAGTGACAAGAAAAGCAGGTAGAAGAAAAGAGAGAAAGTGAAAAGGTGAAAATGGCAGGCAGCAGAGATGGCAGAAGTCGGTGGGAAGAGTTAGATCAGAAACGTAAGAAGTGACAAGAGCAGACAGGGGCACATACACTGACAGAAGAAAGGAAAGTCAGTGACATAGGCAGAAGATAGTTCCAAGTAGGTAACAAACCACTTAGATTACTCAGCCTCTAATAACCAACCCATCAAGCAGAGGCAACTGTATAGCAGGTGAAGACCTAAGAGTATGGTAGTTAGAATGGCCCCCCAAAGATGTCCAATCCCTAACCCCAGGAACCCAAGAATATGTTATGTGACAAAAGGACTCGGCAGATATAATTAAAGTTATGGACTTAAAAATAAGGAGATTATCCTGAATTATCTGGGTGGACCCAAACTAATCACACTGAGCCCTAAAAGCAGATGAATTTCTCCAGCTGGAGTCAAAGAGATGTGGCAGGAGAGGAAGTAAATGATGTGGTAGAAAGGGAAGTCAGAGAGATTTCAAGGGAGAGGATTCAAGGTGTCACTGCTGGTTCTGAGATGTAGGGGCCACATGCAAGAACCGGAGAGAAGCCTCCAGAAGCTAAGAATGGCCGCCAGTTGACAGCCTGCAAGGAGGCATCTTAGTCCTACAACCACAAGGAGCTGGATTCTGTCAACAACGTGTATGACCTTAGAAGCAAATTCTTCCCACAGCCTCTAGATAAGAGCCCAGTTCGCCAACACCTTGATCCTAGCCTTGTGAGACCTGCAGCTGAAGAACCAACCAAGGCAATCTGGACATCTGACCCAAAGAAACATGAGATAATAAATTTGTATTGTTTTAGGTCACTAAGTTTGTGCTAATTTGTTGAAGCAGCAATAGGAAACAAATACAAAGAGGAACCAACCATAGTCTAGGGTAATCCTATACTGTAAAGCTGAAAGCATGCCAGACAGTATAAATCAGTACTCTGGGTGCTGTGTGATACAGTAAATTAAGAAACAACTTGGGGCCTGTCATGCAAAAAGAGAGTGACAACTTGGGGCCTTTCAAGCATAATTCAGCACTCTGTACAGTTTAATACAGAAAAAGCTCCTCTAGCATATTACGACTGTAGAACACTAAGTGTCTATACAAAATATGCAGTGTTTGATAGCTTATAAACAAAATAATAATGTAATAGTAAGCTAGAGCTATGTATAAAAGTCACTACATAATGATAAGTCCAAACCTTTGCTAATAAATCTCAGATAGCATGTGTTCCTTTGGTAGAATGCTAATTAATGTCGGGGTTCTTAAAAGCAAATGTAGTTCAAAGCATCTATTTTTTTGAGGACAATCTTATTACTCAATCACTTATTTGAAATATTTATTTTTTCACTCATTCTTTGATTGTTTACCATTTACTCATTCAATAAATCTTTATGGGGGCCCACCCTGTGTCCACCCCTGGGTTGGGCACTGAGGCTACTGAGGTACACAAGGCTTACATCTTTTCTTATTTCTGGATAGTGAGACACAACATAAGCAGCTAAAGAGAAATGGTGAAAAACAACTCACAATTTAAAATCCACAAAATAATGCTATGGTCTTTTCAGAGGATCCATTTCTGAATATTATCTATCCTCTGAATAGTTTTTATAATGTGTGCAAATGAATCTGTTCCATTTTATCAAAGCTTCCAAACATTGCTCCCATCAAGTGCCCTAGGAGTAAGCAGAATGAAGACAGGCAAATTGTTTTTCTACCTGCTAATTCTGCAGGTGCCCATGAAACAGACACTCTGCTATCAATGCTGCCTGGAAAGAGTGAAGCAATGAAGGGTTAGCTAGGACTAGAGGCTCTTGGATCCCCTAACGTTCTGTACCTTCCTTAAACCCTACCACAGAACTGACTCTTAGTAGGGAGAATAAAGTAATTTAATTGCTACACAGCTAGAAGTATATTTTATTGCCAAACACAACCCTGACAAAGCAGGCACTGGAGCATTTTTAACTATCATCCCCCTTCTGATGATTTTTATCTACATGGAATCTGACTGGGATTTTAAATCTTAGTCTAACATTAATAGTACTAATTCTTAATATTTATGTACAGAATTGTGTTAAAGGTTAAACATTAAGGAAACTTGGGAGGAAATTGTAAGGCTTAGTATCATGTTTTCAGAAATATTCTTTTCTAGCAATGATATAAATTCCCCTTCATCAAAAGACTCTAGCATATGAAATAAAATATCTGGGATTTGCTTCAAAATTCTCCAATGTATAATATCTGGTAGTAGTAGGATGGGGAAAGGGCTGTAGATGAAACAAGATTAAGCTGATAATTAATGAAGCTGGATGACAGGGAATTCATTATACTAGTCTCTAGTATGTTTGAAATTTTCCACAATAGAAAGTTAAATACAAGAGGACCCCAAAACAAATTCAAACCTCAGAACAATTTAGTGGGAGTAAAATAAAATACTGGGGAGAGGAGGGAGATAGGGTGGCAAAAATAACCTTTGATTCACTACACCTCAATTATTTAAAGTTGTTGGTTATTATTATATATGTACAATCAATAATTTGAAATAATCAGGTATATAATTAACTTGGTGAACCACTGTGTTAGTAACATAAAAATAACAGATGGTATCTGTTGGATCAGTGAAGATTTCCTAAGAAGTTTTGAAAATAATTGTGGAAATGGCTGCTTTGGCCTTTAATTACACAATCTTGTCACTGAAAGAAAAAAGCTACACTACCCTTTACTGAACGCATTAACAATTATTCTACTTATCAGATACTTACTGAGCACCCACTATGTGCAAAGAGTGGGGCCAGGCACTAAGGGTCATAAAAAGTATACAGCATAAGACTTATGTCTTCAGGGAGTTTATGGTTTTGGAAGAGCAAGTGGATTCAACACCTATTTTCTTCACCTTCAAAACAAAAACAGAAAGCAAACTGCAGGATCTTGCTTAGGGCCAGTATACACTATCATGGCTTCAATTTAGCTGCATTCATTGATGGCTACATTCTCAATTAAGTAACTTTATTGTAGTTACTCTACTTATTTAAGAATGTGCAAAGAGAATAATGATTTTGCAACATTTTAAATAAACAGTAAAATTTTAAAGTTTCTACTTGGCTTTCCCTACTCCTCACATACCCTAACCTACCTGCCATTCCTTGGGAGAGCCTGTTCTCTCATACCTCTCGCCTTTTGTATGAACTCTTTCTTAAGTTCCACTTACTCATCGAAAAGCTACTTCTAAGCACCTATGATAAGCCAGATGTTCTAGGCACAGATGCTGGAGCAGTAAATAATAGAGGCAAAAATCTGCCCTAATGGAGCTTGTATTCTAGCCCTTGAAATGCCTCCCCAATCTCTCTCACTATCTCCACCCACTCAGTAGACTCCTAAGAAAGATCTCTGGGAGGGAAAGTGCCTCGACGCTGCCAGCTGGCTATCACCCCCCAACGTTTGCCACAAGAGGCGGCGTAGAGAGGTGCTGATTTGCTTATCATGCTTCTCTGGCTCCTACCGTAAGAGCTGGCACATTGAAGAAAGTTAACTGTTTGATAAATAAGTTGATTATTAATTTAATATTTCAACCTTTAGAAATCTAGAAGATTTATACTAAATGCTTAATCCCCTAATAATCCCAATCACTAAAGCATTATTGCACATTAATACCATTTTTATTAAACTAATAATATACAATTGTATATTAACACAGAAAGCTCTCTTCTCTTTCAATTATACAACAGTGGCTCAACAGTTACCCATATTATTAAATCCTCACCGCTTCTAGTGTAGTCACTATCTGTCAATGTATAAGATGTGACAGAATCACTAACTGTATTCTCCGTGCTGTACTAAGGTTTTACATTTTTTAAATGAAGCCTGAAACTGACACACTTTTATGTCAGTAACTTCAGTACCATGCTAATGACTATAAACACACCAAAACCCAGAACAAATACTAAACATGCCATTCTCACAGTTTTCTTTCCTAGATGATAAGTACAAGCATTTTTTTTCAGGCACCCTGACAAATAAACCAGCTATTTCAGCTCAAAATAACTATTGTTCAAAAGTAGAAGCAGTCTTCACTCCCTCTTGAACTACTCCTACTCTCCTCTGACTGGACTGCTTCTTTTAAAACACATATTGGTCAAAATCAACTAAAGTAATCTTCAAGTTCTGGTAGTAGTAGGATGGGGAAAGGGCTGTAGATGAAACAAGATTAAGCTGATAATTAATGAAGCTGGATGACAGGGAATTCATTATACTAGTCTCTAGTATGTTTGAAATTTTCCACAATAGAAAGTTAAATACAAGAGGACCCCAAAACAAATTCAAACCTCAGAACAATTTAGTGGGAATAAAATAAAATACTGGGGAGAGGAGGGAGATAGGGTGGCAAAAATAACCTTTGATTCACTACACCTCAATTATTTAAAGTTGTTGGTTATTATTATATATGTACAATCAATAATTTGAAATAATCAGGTATATAATTAACTTGGTGAACCACTGTGTTAGTAACATAAAAATAACAGATGGTATCTGTTGGATCAGTGAAGATTTCCTAAGAAGTTTTGAAAATAATTGTGGAAATGGCTGCTTTGGCCTTTAATTACACAATCTTGTCACTGAAAGAAAAAAGCTACACTACCCTTTACTGAACGCATTAACAATTATTCTACTTATCAGATACTTACTGAGCACCCACTATGTGCAAAGAGTGGGGCCAGGCACTAAGGGTCATAAAAAGTATACAGCATAAGACTTATGTCTTCAGGGAGTTTATGGTTTTGGAAGAGCAAGTGGATTCAACACCTATTTTCTTCACCTTCAAAACAAAAACAGAAAGCAAACTGCAGGATCTTGCTTAGGGCCAGTATACACTATCATGGCTTCAATTTAGCTGCATTCATTGATGGCTACATTCTCAATTAAGTAACTTTATTGTAGTTACTCTACTTATTTAAGAATGTGCAAAGAGAATAATGATTTTGCAACATTTTAAATAAACAGTAAAATTTTAAAGTTTCTACTTGGCTTTCCCTACTCCTCACATACCCTAACCTACCTGCCATTCCTTGGGAGAGCCTGTTCTCTCATACCTCTCGCCTTTTGTATGAACTCTTTCTTAAGTTCCACTTACTCATCGAAAAGCTACTTCTAAGCACCTATGATAAGCCAGATGTTCTAGGCACAGATGCTGGAGCAGTAAATAATAGAGGCAAAAATCTGCCCTAATGGAGCTTGTATTCTAGCCCTTGAAATGCCTCCCCAATCTCTCTCACTATCTCCACCCACTCAGTAGACTCCTAAGAAAGATCTCTGGGAGGGAAAGTGCCTCGACGCTGCCAGCTGGCTATCACCCCCCAACGTTTGCCACAAGAGGCGGCGTAGAGAGGTGCTGATTTGCTTATCATGCTTCTCTGGCTCCTACCGTAAGAGCTGGCACATTGAAGAAAGTTAACTGTTTGATAAATAAGTTGATTATTAATTTAATATTTCAACCTTTAGAAATCTAGAAGATTTATACTAAATGCTTAATCCCCTAATAATCCCAATCACTAAAGCATTATTGCACATTAATACCATTTTTATTAAACTAATAATATACAATTGTATATTAACACAGAAAGCTCTCTTCTCTTTCAATTATACAACAGTGGCTCAACAGTTACCCATATTATTAAATCCTCACCGCTTCTAGTGTAGTCACTATCTGTCAATGTATAAGATGTGACAGAATCACTAACTGTATTCTCCGTGCTGTACTAAGGTTTTACATTTTTTAAATGAAGCCTGAAACTGACACACTTTTATGTCAGTAACTTCAGTACCATGCTAATGACTATAAACACACCAAAACCCAGAACAAATACTAAACATGCCATTCTCACAGTTTTCTTTCCTAGATGATAAGTACAAGCATTTTTTTTCAGGCACCCTGACAAATAAACCAGCTATTTCAGCTCAAAATAACTATTGTTCAAAAGTAGAAGCAGTCTTCACTCCCTCTTGAACTACTCCTACTCTCCTCTGACTGGACTGCTTCTTTTAAAACACATATTGGTCAAAATCAACTAAAGTAATCTTCAAGCAGTTGGCTAAATTTTCTTACTGTGTCAAATACCACTTGAAATGAATTGGTCATTAACAAAGGATTTTAACTATTTTCTTTGTACAAATATTGTTATTATAAATTATTCCTTGTAAATAACATAAGGGCATGCTCTTAATGAGTAACAGTCTTTTAAACCGCTTTGTTTTAGTCATATCTTGCTGAAAGAAGTCTATCAGTAGAGAGGACTGGGAAGTTATATAAAGGACACCACAAGTAATCAGGTACTTGAAAAACTTTTTGAGGATTATGACATTAAGCATGACTAAACACCACACTGTATTTTCACTTACATGTGCAAACTAGACAAGTCCCTTGCAGAAACTGCTTGCTGCCAAATGCAACCTTCAGTTCCAACACTTAAGGTAACTTGCTGCCCAATAAACCTCCTACACTTCCACTCAGTTCTCTCCCTTTAACCTCTTCAATTTCATTAACAGGCGTTACCTTGGGGGGTGACTGCTGCAATTTGTTGATATTTCCTGAATGCTGAAGTCTTAGAGCCCGTGGGATAAATTCAGGTGCCAGTGGATTCAACACATATGTCTTCTTTAGCTCTAAAGCCTCTAGCTGAGCTTTGATCTGCTCAAAAGTGATTCCATGTAGGCTATTATTTTCATGACACAGTGCAATAAATCGCTCCCAAAATTTCCTTCAGAAAAGATGCAGAAGATCAGTTTATAATTTCAGTAAATAAAATCATAGAAATGAACATAAACGACTAAAGATAATTTTGAATTTCCTCCCACCATCCTAAATCCTCAGGTCCAATATTCATCTGACTGTGATTCAGGTACAATTTTTCCATCAGGTCACAAGACTTGGGAAGTTTGATTCATTCTGAAACTATAGCCACATCTAATATTGAAACATACAAATTATGCTCTCAATTAATTCTGGCTGATCAATGCAAGTAGTAAGGTCAATGCTCAACTAACCATACGAATCTAGATGATGGTTTTTGTTATCCACATGGTAAGTACAGACATCAAAACTGATAACTTATTTATAGAAGATTTATACTTCTAGGTTTACTCATACACACATATGTATGAAAACATTACACATGCACACACATACACAAACACACAAATTAAGCTAACTTGAATTATGGTGCCAAAGTAGCTGGTGCTGGATGACTAAGAAAAGCTAACTCAGGACATAAATCTGAGCCAAAAAGCAGATAAACCTCATGAAGATTCTTAGGAAATACCTAGCTATGCCTATATTTTTCTCTTACTTGTGCCTGCCACAAGCACAGCTTACAACATTAATTGACTAAGTTAAAAGAGTTAAAATAACTATGGAAAATACAGCAAGTTGGAACACTAATTTTAATGTTAATTACTTCCTAATCAAATTACTAAATACTAAAGGAGAAAAATATTTTCAAAACTTGTTACAGTTGTATAGTTATTCCTAAAGGTTTGAAAATTCAGCTCCAAATATTATAAATATCAAATATAAACCTTTTATAGGTTTAAAGTTTAAAAGGTTTAAAAAGTTTAAATGACTATTATAAATATGCATACCTATCTTTAATATGAGGTTCAAAAAATGTTTATTATGCTATAAAAGATACGTGATATCGGTGACAGTCTTTGTCTAAAAGGTCCCAGGGATCTCAAAGAACAGCCTTGCCTTTGAGCGAAAGTACACTATTTCAGAAGTAACATTAAAACACTGGCTATAAGCTAATCAAGTCAAACTAGTTCCAAAGGTAACCTAAATTACCATTTCAAATCTCACTTGTCCTTTGATTGCCCCACTGATACAGCAAAGTGGTCAAGCGCATGGATTCTAGAACTAGACTGCTTGGCTTTCAGTCATGCCTGAGTCATTCAGTAACTGTGTGACTTCAGGCAATCACTTAACCTTTCTTTGTACCTCAGTTTCCTCATGTGTCAGGTAGGGCTCCAACAGTATCATTATTATTATTATATTTTATTATTGAAAAGACTTTCATTTCTCACCTCAAAACTTTCACAGAAATGTATTTTTTCCTTCGAAAATTCTTAGTTTTAAAGCTAAAAATATTCCTTTTTTCTCTCTTTGTGAGGCTTTTTCAAGGATTATTCACACTGCCCCTGAACTCCCTGATACTTTAATGAAATACCATGTGTGGCATTATGAGGTGTTTCTGAACAAATAACTGAAGATCACTTGAGAAATTCAGCTCCACTGATAGGAAGTTAAGAATTTACCACTGTGGTTATTTAAAGGCTCACCAATTCCCAGGCCCCCCCCTAAAATGTTAATATATTATTATGTTAAGAATTTTTCTAGTAATGTTGGTTAGAGGACCCGCGGGTATCTCTACATTGTAATGTAAGTATTTCAAAAGATGTAACCTTACTTTTAATCACTACATGAACACAGAGTTTGGTTTTGTTTATATGTTAACTTTCCTACTAGAATCGCTGATAAAACACTAAATCACTTGGTGTCCTTAGGTCTATATACATGTGAAGTATATATGTCTCACTAAACACTAAGTGGAATTTGCTAACATAGAAATTGAGTTCAAAGAAAGACCCTCTCCAAGCACACCAGTCTGGAGAAACGTATGACTCCTCTTTCTCCTCTCCCCGTTCAGTGCAGATTTATACATGCATGTTCATCACTTCCTGGGAAAAGTAGGGTCACCCAGTGAGAAGAGCTTGGGTTTTGAAGTCAATCTGGCATCTGTTTGAGCGGACCACTTAACAGCTATGTGACCTCGCACAGTAATTTAAACTCTCTGAACCAGGCTGTCCATTTAAAATGCAAATACAATTCCCACACTGCAGGGTTGTTGAGACGACAGAACGAGGCAAAGTGTGCAAAGCACTTAACCGAGCACCTGGCACAGGGAGAGCTGTCAGTAAACAGCAGCTATTATATTAATTATTTGTTGGTTTGGTAAGTGGGGAACAAGTTCACTACATCCATTTTGGGATAATAGAAAATTTCTACTTTAAAATACAACAACAAAAAAAGATTATGTAATGGTTGCCTCTAAACTGGCACCAAAAACACAGCAATTTTTCCTTGAAAACTTGATTAATACTTGAAAATATATTAAATTCACTTCTCCATTGTTATAGCACCTAAGAATCACATTTAGTCCTCCAGGTTTACTTGTATTGTGAGATTAAACTAACTTCTGAAGAACTCAGAAAGATTAAAGCGTAAGTATACCCATTTGCCTCAACTATGAGCTCTTCAGTTAGAGCCATGATTAAACTATCCATATAACATAGTTAATCAGTATTCCCATTGAGTTATGGGCCACATGACTTTTTCTCCCTACACAATATATTTATCTCTCTGAAAACATTTTCCTTAGCTTATAAAATTAATTTGCAGCCCTTGACACACTCCAGCTGAGTATTAAGATATTAGCAACCAGTGGACCTGGCTTCAAGTTAAAAATTAGCCCTGCAAAACTCTGACTGCATGGCTGCAGGATGATTATTCTCCTATTTGCTCTAAGGAAGTAACAATTGATGTCAGAGAAGGGATGAAAAATTCACAGTATAATATGACTCTATAGAAATGTATAATGGTTTTTTAAAAAATTTTATGTTGATAAATTATTTGTAAGTTATTTATGAGAAGAGTCCAAAACGAATGTGGCTCTAGACTATTGACTATTTATTCCCCAATGGTTTCTACTTGTCTTCAATACATGTCACTCTATTTCATATATGTGTTTTAATCTATTCAATTCTAAACAAACCATCAAATATATAGAAAAATGGTAAATTATCACAGCACTATTCTAACCGAATACACTTTCACTGACTAGTAAACAAGATAAAATTCTCAGGAGGGAAGTCAAATTATAATATTTAATATATTTGTAACTTGAAATTGATATATTCCCTTTCCCAATTTTTTGTCAATAATGGCTAAAATGAATGGGAATCTACTTTTTAAGTATGAAATTAGGGATATTTTACAACAGGACTGTTCAGCTACACATAAATACATCGTGGACCATTCAAGTTTCTTTTTTTAATTAAAAGGTTATTTTTCATAATACAATCATAAATTAAAACTCTACTTGATTCCTTTGTTAATGGCTTTCCCCTATTAAGGTCATTAACTTCTTTTGGACTCTTAAACTGTGTTACATGCAGCTTATTCTTAAAGGTCCCAAATCAACTCCCTTCCCACAGAATACTTTTTCCTGCCAAAACAGGAAAACAGACAATAAAATGCTGCCATATCTATAGTGCAACAGGAACTTGGTTTAAGCAACAGAAACTTGGTTTAAATAAGGCTCCTTCCTAAACAGCTTTGTCTACTTTAATTCCAACATAACAAAAAGAAATTACCCCAGGCATATCTGGGACTGTCTCCATCTCTTTCTACTATTCTGAATTCACTTTGACAGGTACTGGAATACTTCTAAAATTTCTAAGTAACCCCTAATACATTTCTTTCTTTTTCAAGAAAGAATATATAAGTTACTGCTCAACTGTTTTTTTTATTAATACTAACATAATTTTCAATACTGCACAAGCCAAGTCTTATATTACTGGCTTCAAACAGCTACAATTCCTATTAACTGGTATAAATCATAAGTGTATAAAGAGAAATTTGTTGTTTATGTTGGTATTTTAACATTTGAGTAGAAATACTTCCTTCTGACTGCAATCTAAGGAATACTAACAATGTAAGAACAAAATAACAGCCAAAGACTAAGGCAAGAAGCACCACTTCTAACTCTCCTAATTTTAAGATCCTCTGGATTAACCAGACTGTTTAAAAAGTTTAAATGACTATTATAAATATGCATACCTATCTTTAATATGAGGTTCAAAAAATGTTTATTATGCTATAAAAGATACGTGATATCGGTGACAGTCTTTGTCTAAAAGGTCCCAGGGATCTCAAAGAACAGCCTTGCCTTTGAGCAAAAGTACACTATTTCAGAAGTAACATTAAAACACTGGCTATAAGCTAATCAAGTCAAACTAGTTCCAAAGGTAACCTAAATTACCATTTCAAATCTCACTTGTCCTTTGATTGCCCCACTGATACAGCAAAGTGGTCAAGCGCATGGATTCTAGAACTAGACTGCTTGGCTTTCAGTCATGCCTGAGTCATTCAGTAACTGTGTGACTTCAGGCAATCACTTAACCTTTCTTTGTACCTCAGTTTCCTCATGTGTCAGGTAGGGCTCCAACAGTATCATTATTATTATTATATTTTATTATTGAAAAGACTTTCATTTCTCACCTCAAAACTTTCACAGAAATGTATTTTTTCCTTCGAAAATTCTTAGTTTTAAAGCTAAAAATATTCCTTTTTTCTCTCTTTGTGAGGCTTTTTCAAGGATTATTCACACTGCCCCTGAACTCCCTGATACTTTAATGAAATACCATGTGTGGCATTATGAGGTATTTCTGAACACATAACTGAAGATCACTTGAGAAATTCAGCTCCACTGATAGGAAGTTAAGAATTTACCACTGTGGTTATTTAAAGGCTCACCAATTCCCAGGCCCCCCCCTAAAATGTTAATATATTATTATGTTAAGAATTTTTCTAGTAATGTTGGTTAGAGGACCCGCGGGTATCTCTACATTGTAATGTAAGTATTTCAAAAGATGTAACCTTACTTTTAATCACTACATGAACACAGAGTTTGGTTTTGTTTATATGTTAACTTTCCTACTAGAATCGCTGATAAAACACTAAATCACTTGGTGTCCTTAGGTCTATATACATGTGAAGTATATATGTCTCACTAAACACTAAGTGGAATTTGCTAACATAGAAATTGAGTTCAAAGAAAGACCCTCTCCAAGCACACCAGTCTGGAGAAACGTATGACTCCTCTTTCTCCTCTCCCCGTTCAGTGCAGATTTATACATGCATGTTCATCACTTCCTGGGAAAAGTAGGGTCACCCAGTGAGAAGAGCTTGGGTTTTGAAGTCAATCTGGCATCTGTTTGAGCGGACCACTTAACAGCTATGTGACCTCGCACAGTAATTTAAACTCTCTGAACCAGGCTGTCCATTTAAAATGCAAATACAATTCCCACACTGCAGGGTTGTTGAGACGACAGAACGAGGCAAAGTGTGCAAAGCACTTAACCGAGCACCTGGCACAGGGAGAGCTGTCAGTAAACAGCAGCTATTATATTAATTATTTGTTGGTTTGGTAAGTGGGGAACAAGTTCACTACATCCATTTTGGGATAATAGAAAATTTTTACTTTAAAATACAACAACAAAAAAAGATTATGTAATGGTTGCCTCTAAACTGGCACCAAAAACACAGCAATTTTTCCTTGAAAACTTGATTAATACTTGAAAATATATTAAATTCACTTCTCCATTGTTATAGCACCTAAGAATCACATTTAGTCCTCCAGGTTTACTTGTATTGTGAGATTAAACTAACTTCTGAAGAACTCAGAAAGATTAAAGCATAAGTATACCCATTTGCCTAAACTATGAGCTCTTCAGTTAGAGCCATGATTAAACTATCCATATAACATAGTTAATCAGTATTCCCATTGAGTTATGGGCCACATGACTTTTTCTCCCTACACAATATATTTATCTCTCTGAAAACATTTTCCTTAGCTTATAAAATTAATTTGCAGCCCTTGACACACTCCAGCTGAGTATTAAGATATTAGCAACCAGTGGACCTGGCTTCAAGTTAAAAATTAGCCCTGCAAAACTCTGACTGCATGGCTGCAGGATGATTATTCTCCTATTTGCTCTAAGGAAGTAACAATTGATGTCAGAGAAGGGATGAAAAATTCACAGTATAATATGACTCTATAGAAATGTATAATGGTTTTTAAAAAAATTTTATGTTGATAAATTATTTGTAAGTTATTTATGAGAAGAGTCCAAAACGAATGTGGCTCTAGACTATTGACTATTTATTCCCCAATGGTTTCTACTTGTCTTCAATACATGTCACTCTATTTCATATATGTGTTTTAATCTATTCAATTCTAAACAAACCATCAAATATATAGAAAAATGGTAAATTATCACAGCACTATTCTAACCGAATACACTTTCACTGACTAGTAAACAAGATAAAATTCTCAGGAGGGAAGTCAAATTATAATATTTAATATATTTGTAACTTGAAATTGATATATTCCCTTTCCCAATTTTTTGTCAATAATGGCTAAAATGAATGGGAATCTACTTTTTAAGTATGAAATTAGGGATATTTTACAACAGGACTGTTCAGCTACACATAAATACATCGTGGACCATTCAAGTTTCTTTTTTTAATTAAAAGGTTATTTTTCATAATACAATCATAAATTAAAACTCTACTTGATTCCTTTGTTAATGGCTTTCCCCTATTAAGGTCATTAACTTCTTTTGGACTCTTAAACTGTGTTACATGCAGCTTATTCTTAAAGGTCCCAAATCAACTCCCTTCCCACAGAATACTTTTTCCTGCCAAAACAGGAAAACAGACAATAAAATGCTGCCATATCTATAGTGCAACAGGAACTTGGTTTAAGCAACAGAAACTTGGTTTAAATAAGGCTCCTTCCTAAACAGCTTTGTCTACTTTAATTCCAACATAACAAAAAGAAATTACCCCAGGCATATCTGGGACTGTCTCCATCTCTTTCTACTATTCTGAGTTCACTTTGACAGGTACTGGAATACTTCTAAAATTTCTAAGTAACCCCTAATACATTTCTTTCTTTTTCAAGAAAGAATATATAAGTTACTGCTCAACTGTTTTTTTTATTAATACTAACATAATTTTCAATACTGCACAAGCCAAGTCTTATATTACTGGCTTCAAACAGCTACAATTCCTATTAACTGGTATAAATCATAAGTGTATAAAGAGAAATTTGTTGTTTATGTTGGTATTTTAACATTTGAGTAGAAATACTTCCTTCTGACTGCAATCTAAGGAATACTAACAATGTAAGAACAAAATAACAGCCAAAGACTAAGGCAAGAAGCACCACTTCTAACTCTCCTAATTTTAAGATCCTCTGGATTAACCAGACGTGAAGAATCATTCACACTGAGAAACCTTGAAAGAAAATGAGTAGAGAAGGAAATTCATCAAAAGTAGTGAAAACAAGAATGAAGGGGAAAAAATGAAGTATCAATATAAAATTTAGTCTCCATCAAAGACACACACATACACAAACCACCTTAGGACTCTTGCACTAGCTGTTCCCTCATCCACACTTTTACCCCAGGTTTCTGCACGGCCCACTCCCTCACCCCCAAAGTCAGCTTCTCAGTGAGGCCTACCCTGACCACAAGTACAAGTACAAACCAGCCCACCCCACCTCATCCCTCCTAATGCCCCTTAACGTTCTATTCTTTTCCACTGAACTTACCACATGAACTACTACATAGTATTTTATTTACTGTCAGTCTTCCTCTCCTCCCCAGTAAAATGCAAGCCCCATAAAGGCAGTGATTTTTTCTATTTTGTTCATTGATGTATCCTCAGGGGCTAGAAGAATGCTTAGAACACAGTAGGCACTCATATCTGTGGAATGATGACTGAATGGACGAACACACAATTATGCATCTAATGAACAGACTCAAAGCAATCTATTATTGTGTTTCCAGTGGATACCGGGTTAAGACTAAACCTGATTTTAATCAGCCAAGAGGTCATATAAATAAAGGTATACATTTGGATGCAAATTGCTCTGTATTAATGTCTCAATCAGTAACACATGATTACCTGCATCTTCCAATAGAGCACAGAGCAATGGGATCACCCACAACAGCAACCAGGGACTGTGCTCTTGTGATGGCAGTATTGAGAAGTTTGTAGTTAGACAAAAAGCCATAATCTAAGTCCTCTGTGGAATCTTCCAGCAGTTGCTCTTTCTTTTTAATTGGTGTCTGTTTATGTTTACAAGTATGCCTTGTACGTACTGTGCTAAGAAACAAAACTCTGAATTGCTTTCCTATTAAAGAAAATAAAAAATAATAGTTAATATGGTTATTCCGAATCATTGATAGACTAAAAGCATTTGATTTTTTAAAATATTACTGCTAAATAACAGGTGTTGGCAAGCATGTAGAGAAACTGGAGTTCTTGTGTGCTTCAGGTGGGAATGTAAAATGTGGGAAATGGTATGGAAAATAGTACGGAAAATGCAGTTGCTCAAAAAATTAAACAGAATCAACATATGATCCAGAAATTCTGGGTTTATAGCAAAAGAACTGAAAGCAGAGTCTCAAGCAGGTATTTGTACACTTGTGTTTATAGCAGCATTATTCATAATAGCCAAAAGGTAAAAGCAACCCAAGTGCCCATCAACAGATGAATGAATAAACAAAACATGGCATCTATGCACAATGTATTATTACTGAGCTTTAAAAAGGAAGGAAATGCTGACACATGCTACAACGTGGATGAAGCCTGAGGACATAAAGCTAAGGGAAGTTGGCCAGTAATAAAAAAATGAGTAGTGTATGATTGCACTTATTTGAGGTCCCTAGAGTAGTCAAGTTCACAAACAGAAAGTAGAATGTTAGTTGCCAGGGGCTGGGGGAAGGAGGACAGGGAATGAGAAAGTACTGTTTCATGGATGTGGAGTTTTGGCTTTACAAGATGAAAAGAGTTCTGGAGATGGATGGTAGTAAAAGCTACACAACAATGTGGATGTATTTATTTAATGCCACTGAATTGTGGCATTTTATGTTTTATGAACACAGAAAAACAGTTAAAATGGTAAATAATTTTTTTTTAATTTGCTGGAACCAACCTTAGTGATTTTCTATTCTCAGGTTCCACTTCAATACAAGGTCCCTTCCTTGAAGCAAGGCCATCTGCCTCTCATTGGCCCTGGCAGACACAGCTGATTCTTTCTTGTAAGTAACATGTCAATTCCCTTATTCTATGATAAGTCTCCAAATATCTGAATACATTTTTAATGTCATTCTTTAATCTTCTCTTCTCTAGGCCAAACAATCCTAGTTCCTTCAACCATTCCGGACTCCCAGGTTTCTAGGCCATTTACTACCCTAGGAGTCCTTTGGGCTAGTTTACTAGTAATGTTCCTTCTAAAATATACAGCCAAATTCTATGTGATATGGATAACACATGGTATAGTGGAGCTATTTTTTCCCATGATCTGGAAATGATATAAAATTACTCTTACTATTTTATATTCCCATTAAACCTAAATTTATACTGTGCTTTTTTAGCACTCACATCATACTGTTTCTTCATATATTTAAAAGCAACAAATTCTATGGCAACTTATTATATGAAGACAATTTAAAAGTGTTGCTGATAACTGTTCACTTAGGAAAGTTTATAAATAAAAACAGCTGTGTCTTTAAAAATGTATTGAAACAAAATTTGCTTGACAGGTGTCTTAAAAACCTTTATAAACAAATTAGTTTTTAGATACAGTATAACAATAGTGAAGTGTTATATGCTACTGTGATTGTAACTATAGCATATAGATATCATGTGTGGCATTCATACAGTCACAGTAATTGAAAAAGTCCATTTGTTCATACTTCTTTTATTTAGATACAATAATTTAATAAACACATAAATGAACTTGACCTTTAACAGCCAGATTTGGCATTAAAGAACTTGGTATGAAATAAATACATAATTGCTTGTTCAGAAAAGAGACCCTGAGAATTAAAAATCAAATATGCACATACTTCAAGATTTAAGCATCTGAATAACTTACATTTCAATCAATACTTACCTTGAACATTTAGCACCCTTTCTACATTAACATCAGATAATCTCTTTTTTCGAAGTTCAGCTCGTATCCTAAACACTTGATCAGCATATGGAGTCACCACACCAATACTGCCATCATCTAACTTCCCCCAAGCTACTGGCCACTTCCTTCTTAATTCTTCCACACGTTCCACCACTTCAAATACCTTTGAACAAACACATATATACATATTTAAAGTTACACAGTATCTGGAGAAAAGAACACAGTAACTGAATAGATGTATGAAGGATTCCCTTTAGCAAATATCATTTAAAAATTACCTCTACATAGGATACAAACACAGTGAAAATAAAAAAAGTTTTATGTACATTTCAAACAGTAAAATTCTACAATAATGCACCAGTGAAAACATGAAAATCAGACACAATGTAATTGGCAATTACACCCTTTACCTAGCCTCCTTTCTTAAACAGGGACAGGTTCAAGTTCCTGCATAGGGAGGAAGACAGACCACAGGGCCAAGAAACTGATGACTCCATCTAGCGAAACAGGGAAGAAAATCCCCACATTCTCAGTCCCCTTTCTCCAGATCAGGCCAATAACACTAACCAACCAACTAGAAGATTCCTAGAGTCAATGCCACCATTAAGTCCCACCAGTACAAGGCCTAGCATTACCTCCTCCCCCTCCCTACTGACATCCCTTACCAGAGAAGCCAACAGCTGGCACCAAACCCCAGTCAGGACTAGGACAGACTTTCAGAATTCACCGCCTTCTAGTGGTGCAAGTTCACCCAAGCCATTTCATTAACTTTGCAATAAAGTAACCATATTTTACTCAATTAAATTTTCTGGACCCACTTAGTGGATTATAGTACAACTTTTAGTGTAGTTCAATCTATTTTAATCCAATTAACTGATCAGATAATTTCAATATTTGGCACAATGGAGGATACAATGGTTAATAAAACATATTCCTGTCCTAAGATATTACTGCATATTTAGAAAACAGATTCCTATACCATAAGGTGCAAATTCAACTGGATCACACTGTGGAGCACTTTAATGGAAGATGTAAAGTAAAATAGCTGAAATGAAAAATACACTAGAGGGCCTCAAATAGGATTTGAGCTGGCAGAAGAATGAGTCCACAAACAGGAAGATAAATAGAGATTATGTGATCTGAAGATCAAATGTGGAACACCATTAAGCTCATCAACACACATATAATGGGAGAACCGGAAGAGACAGAAAAGAGAAGAAAAATCAAAGAAATAATGGTTAACATTTTCTAAATTTGATGAAAAAACAATCTACACATCAAGCTCAGTGAACTTCAAGTAAGGTAAATGCAAGGAGAGCTATACCCTGATACATCACAGTTAACAAGTTGTAAGACAAAGACAAAAATAAAATTCTTGAAAACAGCAAGATAAAAACAACTCATCACTTACAAAGGAATTCCAATAAGATTAACAGCTAACTTCTCATCAGAAACCATTAAGAAAACAGTAGAAAAGCATGTTTCAATGTGCTGAAAGAAGTAACTCAAGCAATAACCTAATTTCCAGTAAAACTATGTTTCAAAAATGAAGGCAAAGTAAAGACATTCGCAGATAACAAAACTGCAAGAATTCCTTATTAGCATACCTGCCTTAAAAGAAATCTGAAGGAAGTTCTTCAGGTTGAAAGCAAGGGACACCAGACTAATTCAAATCCACACAAAACATACCACTAAAGGTAACTATACAGTTAATTATAAAAGACAGTATAACAGTATATTTCTTATCCTTTCTCCTCTTAATTTATCTGAAGAGCACATATAATTGTACTGTTAAGCTATAATATATAGAGATGTAATATATTTGTTGATAACAGCACAAAGGAGGTGAGTAGAAACTGACACCAGATCGTAACCAGAATCCACAGGAAGAAGTGAAGAGAACCAGAAATACTAAGGAAGAAGGTTAATATAGCAAACTCTATAACTATGTACTTGGTCCCCTTTCTTCTCTTAGAATCCTTAAAGGGCATAAAATTACATAAATTAATAATTATAACAAATTTTTTGAGTTGTTACATAGGTATAAAATGAGTAACAACAGCACTAGAAAGGGAGAGAGGGAGTAGAGATATGTAGAAGTAGTTCCTATATGTCACTGGAATTAAGTTAATATAACTATGAAGTAGATTCTGATAGCTAAGATGTATACTGTCAGCCCTAGAGAAACCACTAAGAAAAAACTCAAAAAAATATAGTAAATAATTAAAAGAATAAAATGTGACACTACAAAACATGCACTTAATGCAAACTGCGGCAGTAAAGGAGAAACAAAGGATCAGAAAAACAAGACAGAAAACAGAAAGCAAAGGCAGAGGTAAATCCAACCATTTTAATAATAACATTAAATGTGAATTAATCCAATCAAAAGGCAGTTATTTTCAGACTAGATTTAAAATAAAAAACATGAAAAGAAGATAATGACATGGTCTACAGGGGATACACTTCAGAGTCAAAGGCACAAACAGGATGAAAGTAAAGGGTAGGAAAAACAGACCATATAAACAGCAACCATAAGGGAGCTGCCACAGTTTCACTACCATCACACATATCAAGTTTAAAACCAAAAAAAAAAGTTACTAGGGATAAAAACATTTTATAATGTTAAGTCAGAACACTGGGAAGATTAACAATTATAAACACATGTACAACTAACTACAGAGTCGCAGTATATATGAGGGGAAAAACCGTGTTCTCTTCGCCACAGGTTCCATCAAACCTGATGGACTCATTTCTTATATCTATACAACTCTGTCTACCTCTCACTTATCCTACTGTCTTAGGGTTGTTTGTTTCCTTAGCTCCTATATTCACAGTGAATTTCTCAAGGTTAAGAACCACGTCTCAACCTTAATTAAGTAGCTTAGTATTTAAATTCTGCTCTTTTCCCAATTTGGCATTATACTGAGACCATTTCATTACTGTGATGTAAGAATTTAGCCAGAACCAAGAAAAAAAAAGGATGACCTTTCTCACTCTCTTTCATTCTACCATTTTAAGCATGTGAAAGAAGACAGAAGCTGAGGTGATATACAAACACACAGTTTTAAACAAAAACATGTCCCTGAAACAAAGGACAACTAATACACAGCAAAAACACTACTAGTACTCAGCTCCAGGTTCTTTAATTTTACTTTTAATTTCATCGTCTGTTTTAAGTTCCTTGTGATTGTAACTCTGTGTGACACTGTATTATTTTTAAAATTATGAAATCTAAACCATTCTCAATTCTATGCCAGAACATTTAAAAAGAAACTTCCTTTTTCTCCTGTTGATGCAACTGGTTTCACTTGCTCTGCTTGCTCTAGAGCACAAAATAGATATGAGTGTCACCTTTATATGATGTAGTATCAAGAAGAGTCCAGGGCTTCTAGAAACACTTTACTCTTCAAACATGCCAATACTGGTATTCAAGACTTTGAAAAATTTTTTCTATCAACCCAAGAATTTCTACTTCCAGTCCACAGGATACCTATACATATTCCCTCTATCAGCTGCAGAGAACAAGGATCAGATTTTGCTGCTTGTTGAAGAGCCCCTGGGGCAAAGTGTTCTGACCGCAGAAACTCCAGGGCCTGAAGGGAATGACCAACCATGCTCTGGTGGTGAAGTTCAAGGTGGCCTGAAACTTCCCTAAAGTTACATGTTTAAAATTTGATGGTCACAAATTTTGTCTTTGTGGGTTTTTTAATAGGAAAAATATTTCCCCCAAAAAACTTTTGAGTAAAATTGATAATCCAGGAAGATGTACCTTATTTATTCTACAGCTTGAAGGTTTCTTAGAAAACACCCCGTGTCAACATGAAAAAATAAGCAGCCCAGGTTGAGAAGCTAACTCTCCGGCAAATGTCAACCCTGCCTCAGTATGAAAATTAGGGCTCAATTTGACCACTGGGGTAACAGCAGGACCACCAAGCCTTCTGGATTTCAGGTGTGCCTCTCCCTGTCAGCGCTTTCACCCTCTATCATGACTGGACTCCTAGTTTTCAGGCAGTGGTTTCCAGCCTGAGTATAAAAGCAATAAATTCACCAGTTTGTCAATAGTTCAAACTTTTTTTTTAAGTTCAGTGTTTCCTAAAATTAAGGGGCATGTACTAACTAAAATGTCAAGTTTCTTTCTTTCTTTATTTTATTTTTTTTGAGAAGGCATCTCTCATATTTATTGATCAAATGGTTGTTAACAACAATAAAATTCTGTATAGGGGACTCAATGCACAATCATTAATCAACCCCAAGCCTAGTTGTCAACAGTCTCCAATCTTCTGAAGCATAACGAACAAGTTCTTACATGGTAAACAAATTCTTACATAGTGAATAAGTTCTTACATGGTGAACAGTGCAAGGGCAGTCATCACAGAAGGTTTCTTTATTTTTATCTAGGATTTTTATCAAGTGGATACTGTTGACTTTCCTATACTGGCTTGTAACTACAGGCCTCTGATCACTTTTTAAAAGGATAGATGAAATACTATTACATAATAAAAGCCATTTCTTTGTAAATAAAATGAGTAAAGCCTGGGTGGGATACAAGGGGAGAAAGGAAGATGGAGATCATAGATGAAGAATCACTTCCCTAATGACCAACCATGCACACCCCCTCCTCTGAGTTTCGTAAGTCCAGAACTCCACTCCCTTGTGATAGCCAGAACCTAACTCCAGGTTCTCTGGCCTGCTGGCCTCTAAACACTTCAGCAGATTTTTGTCCACTGCCTGATCTGAACCCTTATAATAGCCACATTCTCTCTGAACTTAAAAAAATCAGAAACTATAAGGGAACCATACAAGTTGTAGCATATGATGAGTTAGCAACATTGTTATTTGGGTCTGAGTGATGTCTCTGGAGAACATGATTTTGCAGTTCAAGTCTTACTCATTTAAAATGGTACCTGATTTGAGTATGCACTATAAAATGTAATCATGGTCTATTTTAGATAGCTAGTAGTAATAATCATCATGAAAATATTGGCTTTTCTTTTAAATGAAGTCATGTATTTTATATTCTATCCTAAGATGAATGTAAATCAAGGTTGTTTCCCACAGAAGACTCATCCTAACAAACTGATGTAAACGTAAGAAAGAATAATTTTACATGCTACTTTCACATAAATGAAGTTAACACACAGTAAAATGTCAACCCAAAATTTTAAATAAATGCCCAACAAGCCCAGACTATATGACCGAGAAAATGTTAACAATATGTAAATATGTAATAATATGTAAAAGAATACCTCTGCATTATTATAAAAAGCTGTGCTGTTTTTTTCTTGTACATCTTCCCCTCGTGCTGTAAAGAAAGTTAGTGGGTAGAAATCCTTGTGTGCCGGCTGCTTTCCACTGGCCATCAATTTGCCTTCATAGAAGAGCTCCGAGGTGTAACTGCAGAAAAAGGCAATAAACAGTCATCTATCATCAAAATTAATTTTACCCATAAGAAAAAAAATCACCAATGAATTCTAATTCATTGCTTTATGTTCATGATTAATTTTAATCCACGTATCTAATAGATATGAGACCAAGATTTTCTCCCAAATTAACCACAGCAGTAACAACAGAATAGGCTCCTGGTGTGCCACTGCTAAACGGATTGCTTTTGGTCAAGTACGAAGCCACAATATAGAAAAAAGAGAAAGAAATGAGGACAATTCAATACTAAATGAAAATCTTGCTCTATGAAAAAAATTTGCTAGCTACTATATTTTCTTGGTTAATACATACTTTTATTTATATGGATCATGTATTTACACATGCAAACACAAAGATATATAGACATTGGAACAATATACACAACTGGAGGACATTCAAGTCTTCAACTATAAAATGAATACTCTTTGCTGTTGAAGACACTATATAACTTCTGAAGTGTTCTTTCACAGCCATAAAATTAAACATAATATGCAGCACTAGGGACACCACGTAACTCTGCTGGTGATCATCTGTCTAGGTAACGATGCCGCTCTGAGTTCCCTCCCACCAGACCACAGGAGGTGGGAAGCCGAAGGGGTAGCCCACACCTACTTGATGATAGCTTCGTGGGAGCGGTAGTTCTCACACAGGAGAATCCTGCATGGAAACTCAGCAGGGTAATGCTCGTAAAGTCGATCAAGTAATGAAACATGAAGGTTTCTCTCCCTGGCAAACTCGCTGTAAACAAAAGGACTGAGCTGTAACAGACAAACATACAGAGAGAATTTAACTCCATATACAAATACTGTATTTTTAACCTACTTATAAAAAAATCCACACTGCTGAAATTTGATAGACTAAACCTTAACATGCTGAATGCTAAAATAAGCAGAATCAAAAATATTTTCTATGAACGATTTACTACCATAAAAAACTAGATTAAAATTTCTAACTTTTCATTTCAATATACCAACATTAACTTAGAGTTTCTACAAAGAAGTTAACAAAGGCCTCCTCCAACATAGTAACAAATAGCTACCCTTAAGTAATTTCAGAGGCGCAACCTATTGCGCCATTGGGGGAATCAATCAATTATTTCACTAAAATTGATCACCTATTTAAAATAGTGAGCTGGCAGGATATACAGTCTAGGACTAAAAAATATATTTTTAATAATTAATAAAATAACCCTCATTAGCTCATAAAGTATAAGGAGGTTTTCTTGCTCAAACCTTTGACCACTAATGAACACAGGCTTCTTTTAGCAAAGCAACAAAAACAGAATTGCTTCCTCTACATTCAACTCTCCCCTGGGTGCCTGGATGCCTACAGTACTACACAGGTACGTAAGTTCAGCCTTAACCACTGTGGCAAAAGGGAAAGAACCTCAAAGTGTGACTTTATAAAGCAAATATTTTAATAGAAAAATTGTATTTCCCTTTCATATATAGGTACATATACATAAAATCAGACATGTTCTTTGAGATTTTGACTATTATTTTTAAATAAGTACTTTGTACCTCTGATAGCAAAGAAGTAACCATTCAAGAAAACAAATGGGGACAGAAACTGGGACATTGTAGAAAGGACAATTTAAATTTATTTTCTAAAGAAAAGTAAGTATCAAACATTCATACTATAGAGAACTGAGCCTTAAATTAATAAGCATGAAAATTACAGCATCAATGGATTCATTCATTCCACTCTCTATCCAAAGAGGAAGAGAAAGTGGTGGGATAATAATTTTCCTTCAGAAATACCAATATTTTTCACTATTAGTACAGCAATATTTAAAGTATTTACACTGTAACACGCAGCACAACTTCTTAAGCTGTTTCAGAGAGCAGAATATTAAACATCCATATATAACTAAAAGTTCCTTTCCCTATGATGATACAGAGGGCACTTACCTGCATATGGTCACCAGCCAAGACAATCCGAGTGTTTTTAGTTGCTAATGCTAGAGGCATAATGGTTTCGCACTCCATGGCCTGGGCAGCTTCATCTAATAGAATGTGTGTAAAAAAACCTACAAAGTACAATGTAAACACAGTAAACACATAATTGCTTTCTTTCTGCTAAGGAAAGAGTTTAGAGTACTCATTTAAGAGTTGTGAGTACTTTTAATGCCAATCCTCAATTTAGCAAACTGTCGATTTAAATCACTATTTAAAGAAAGGTTAAAAGGAGTAACTGTTTACTCAAAAACAGATAAGCAAATAGCGTCCAGTGTTAAGGGCGCGAAGACTAACAGCTGAACGAGTATAAGACAGCAGCTTTTCACCAAAAAGAAGGGCTAGGAACTAATAAACACTGATTAGGCCCAAAGTCTTTTCACTATTTATTTGGTAAAACACCAAAAATAAAACAATGGTAATTTATAAGTAACTTTAGCCTAAACATGCATATTAGACATAAAAGAAAATCATACCCATCTAATATAAAAGGGAAAGTTATAATCCAATTTTGACTGAAACAAAGGGGGCATCTATTAGTAATTTCACTAATTTAATTAGGTTTATTTTGTGTGTGTAGATACATGTGGTGTGTGTATAAAATATGTATTTTGATATATATGTATTTTTAATATATATATATATATATACCATAGGAATGGTACAGACATCTGTTTACAGAAACATAAGTTGTGATGCATAATAACAATATCTAAATCTATCATACAACATAAACCCCATAAATACTGCCAGCATCCTTAAAGCTATCTTTGTAGTATGCTCTTAGTTCAAGGTGCTTCCCTGGTAGAGGTCACCAGTATGCTAGATATTTGATTTAAAAAAAAAAAAAGAACACCAGTCTGCAAAAAAGTGACAAATAACAAATGTCAAAAATGTACATTATCACATGTCCTCCAGCTATAAACACCTCCAGGAGAAGGCAACCCCACATCTTGATTGCTGTCACCACTCACACTGAGGCACAGGAAATTGTGTACAGAAAGGAGAAAAAGTCCCTTTGCCCCTAAGAGGAGGGAAAGTGGCAAAAATCTCCTTGCTATCTCAGTGTGGAGAAGGAAAAGCTGCCCATACTGCCAACACATCAAAGTAAAACAGGGGGCCAGGCCTTCTTTCGACTAACAGTGCAAAGACTACAGAACAGCTCCTCAACAGAATGACGAGTTATAAAACTGGATTAATCAGCCTCCTGTGAGTTGGCCCAAGAGCCGAACCTCTATTGCTATCCCTATTTCTATGAGTATCAACAAATTCCAAACAATCCATTTGTGCAACTGTCTAATGCAACTTGTTTTTAGGTTGGGAACTTTCTGAATCCCACTGACTAGCAGTAAAACCATCATCATCATCCATTCAAATGAATGGCTACAGTTGATGGTAAAGCATCAAGAACTGCTGTCTGTTTACCAGCAGTGGCCCAAGCATGACACAGACACATGCATTTTTCTCCCTGTTGAGAATCTGTGCTTTTTGTTCTACAAGACTAATTAAGGATGGTGACTATATAAACATAGGATCAAATTGGAAAAAACAGACACTAGTGGAAAAAAAAAATTAAATAGAACTGGGCTTGAATCAGGAACTGGATAAATCAAGAAATTGTTACAGCTATTGCTTAAGCTAGTAAAAGTAACCTGAATTAATTAAACTGATTTAGCCTAAGCCTTGGTTTGCTTATCCGTAAAATAACCCTCCAAGAGCTTATCTGAGGATTCAGTGAAATAAACACCACCCAGAACAAACCACATAGTCGACTTCTAGTAAGTATTCTTCAATATTGTTGCTCTTCAAAGCCATTCTATTCTCTCACAAAACTATACTACTTAGGCGGCTTGGGTGTTTAATCTATGTGGCAAATATGCAGAGTATAATCATGAAGTAATGAGACTGATTGTTAAATAAACATACCAAAATTTACATTTCAAATAAGTGCTGTTCCATTCAAAGAAGTCAGTTGGGAGGAAATATAACTCATTCCAATGATGCAGTCACTGTTCAAAACATTTTTGAAACTCTGCTTTTGTAACTGCCCTCACCAGCCAGCTATGAGCTGCATGCACAGGAAAATAAGTCTCATTACATGAGAGGCACATCTCATTTATTTTTTTTTACCCCTAATGGTATTTGCTCAGTTTTATCACCTTATTTGCCAGACATGTCTCAGAAGATTTTGATGCTTTGTAAAATTAAATCTACCCTCAAAAAGGAAAGTTTGGCCGCCAGTCATTCATTTGAGATAAACAGAGGTTTATCAAGGGCCTCCAGGTGTCTATACCCTGGGCCAAGTGCCAGAATACAAGGTGAAGAGGACAACATCTACCTTCCAGGGACTCAGATTTTCAAAAGAATTTGTCACTGGCTCTGAAAGCAATTCCAAAAGGAGAGAGCAAAAAAATGTTGAGCAATGTCAACAATTATAATATGGCAGTAATAAATGAATAATCTAAAAAAACTACCTTAAAATTTTACTTTTTGATGGTTCAGCCTTATTTATCAGAATTCCCTGCCACCCTACATCTGTACTCATATATTAGTTTGATTTTACATGTTCCTGTACTTAGATACAATACTCACAATAGCATGTCAAGAAAAACCTGCCATGATTGTTGTCTCTGCACTATATTATGCAAAAGTATTTTAAAACAAAAAGTTGAGAAAATTGTAATAAAAACACCAATACTGTCAAAACTTGAGTTTTCTACATGATCAGTAATAAGTAATAGACCATCTGGTCAATCAGGGAATAGAACAGAAATCACTAAAATGTCTAAACTAGGGGTTGACAATTTTTTTTGTGAAAGGCAACAGTATACATTCTAGGTTTTGTCGCCCATACCATCTCTGTTGCACCTACTACTCAACTCAGCTGTTGTAGCACAAAAGCACCCACGATAATGAACAGTTAATAAATGAGCATGGCTCTCTTCCATCCAATAAAACGTCATGATCAATTATAGACAACATGCCAGATTTGCCCCACAGGCTGTAATTTGTCAACCCCTGGTTTAAACTGAATGCAGAAACCCTTTGCATTCAGAGTGACTCTAACTGTGTCTTTAGTCAGCATACCAGGTTCAAGGTCCAACTGACAGAGGTACTGGGAAGTATTCAATGTAACAACAACCACTCGGTGTTTAAGAATATCTTCTTTCTGTGGCATCTGAAAGGTGGAATGTGCGCTTGAGATCAAACAGTACTGATGCACAACTGGGTGGACAGTCTTTACCCAGCGATTTCTGAAATATACCCTATAAAAAAAGATAATATTTCCTATTTATATTTAATAAATCTTACCAATATTATCATAATATTGACATTACTACTTAAAGACTACAATATCTGGAAATTAACAAATAAATCTGATACATTTAACACTCTACTGGATTAGAATTTAACATAAAACTGTGACTCCTCCCTACCAAAAAAAAATTCAAACCAAAAGCATATGCACAAGCATAAAATAGGTATCTAATTATTTTTATGTGTTCAGATTAATCTTACAACAGAATGAGACACAAACAGTTTCATAAGCATTATAGTTTTTTAAGTTCAAAACATTCCAATTTGGGAATTACTTTTTTCTAGAATATTCTTGAAAAATATTTTTTAATTCATAATTCCTATGCTAATAAAAAGCAGTGAACTGCACATTTACAATAGAAATTTAGAAGCTATTTGCATTTCACTTTAGAACATATTCTTATACCTATATTTAAATAGGCCTCCATTTAAAGTTTGGAAATTCAAAAATAAATTAAAATTTTGGACAATCGGAGAATCTTAGAATATCTTTTCCATTAACTGCAAAAGAAAAATATGAATAGGCCTCATGCAATAGATTACTAACATGGTACAGCAACAATTTATCCATCCATCTAACCACCCACCCACACCCATCTCTAACCCACCCATATAACAAAGATACATTGGGTATCTACGATGCTCCAGCATAGAGAAAAATCAAATGGCTTTGCAGGCTTTCATAAAAGCTTTGTATTTACTCTGACTGTAATGGAAAGCCATCAGAAAATTCTGATGGACAGCCACATGACACAACTTATGTTGTTAAAGGAAAACTCTGTTTCTCTGGACAGAATACACAGTGTTGGGGACTGGGGCCAGGTAGAATGGGGCATAAGGGGTGTTGGACAGTGATGTGCTAGTAAACGTTGAACAACCAGTTCTTAGTGGAAGGGGAGAGGGTGATTTACAGTGTTTGCTGATTTATGTAGTATAAAACTTACCACCATGGCTAATTTCAAGCTACCAAAATGATATCACTAATATGAATTTGGGAAGACATGCACATGACTGGCTCTCACAAGCCATTATAAGCTGGCTGCAATGTACCACTGACTGCAACAGAGGCAGGGGCAGGGGATAAAGCAGGGAGATCAGTTAGGAGACTGTTGTAAGGATCTGGACAAGAAAAGATGACAGCTTGGGGTAAGATGGTAACAGTGGAGATGCGAAAATGTCAGATTCACTATATATTTTAGAGTAATGCTGACAGGGTTCACTGATGAACTAGATGTAGAATTTAAGAGAAAGGATGAGTCCATGTCTTTGAAACTGGATGTATGGCAGTGATGCAGACAAAGGTGGTAAAGTGAGGAACAGATTTAGGATGGTAATTAGGAATTCAGTTTTGAACATATTCAATAGTAGACATCCAAATGGGGATATCCAATAAGCAAGGGGATACAGAAGTTTGGAGTTCAGGAGAATGCCTGGGACAAGAAATACACAACTGGGCATATTTTTGAAATTAGATGAGGGTAGCTGGAGAATGAGTGCGGATAAAGAAACAGTTGAAGAGTGACTGATGGACACTCTAAAATTTAGAGGCTGGAAAAGGAGAGGGGACACAGTAAAGAAGACTGGAAAGGAGCAGTTACTGAAATAGGAAGGAACTCAGAAGTGTGTGGGGGGGTCAAACAAGGGACATAAACCAAATCATTTTTCAGACCCATCAAGTTACTTATCAGCAGCACCTAGTTCTGCGGTTGCTTCCTCCTTGAAACACTCTGTTCTCCCAAACTCCCCCTGCTTTCCTTCTCCCTCCCTAGGTTAGGGTTCCTCAAGGCTTAGTCTTCGTGCTCCCCTCTTCTCTCCTCTGACAATTTCATCCAGGCCCTGGCTTCAATTACCACCAAAACCCTAAGGACTCACACATTCTTCTCTCTCCAGCCAAGAACTCACCTCTGAGCTCCAGTACGCATATTCAACTGCTTATTTAACATCTGTCTCCTCTAGGACATTTCAAAGGCAGTGCAAATGTAACATGCATGAAACTAATCTCTAAAACTGATCTTCTCTGTTTTAACCCTCCTTGAAATACCTGAAACTGGTTATGGTCTTTTATTTTTTAAGATAAAAAAGGCATTTAATAAATTTCCCTAAAAATAAATTGTAATAGAGAAAAGTAAAGAAATCCATTTTAAAGACTTTACTTTGATAGTAAGTAAACTTGATGAAAGTAATATCACTTCTAAAAGATGAAAAAATTTTAAATAACATGGTTTAGGTTTTATCAAAACATGCTTAATCAGATCATCAAAGCAGAATTTACTTTTAATTTTACAAACCATCTGAAAAAAACTCACTTACAAATTATCATTATGAACATTAATGAAAGTATGTATATTGGAGCACATAAATTAGTAGAAATTAAACTCCAGAATGTTAGTAGTATTTATCTCTGGCCGGTGAACTGTAGATAATTCTTATTTTCTTCTTTGTTCTTTTCTATATTTTCCATATTTTCTTAAGTGAATATTTGTGAAAATGAAAAGTGGTTTTCAAATTATTCATCAAATCTAACTCCAATCACCATTTCTTCCTCAAAGAAAAAACAGAAATTGAAGTCCTGAGTATCACTACCTTTTTGTAACCACCTTGAAAAGATACCTCAAGTTGAAGTCTAGTAAGAATACAAAATCTGATTAGACCTATATATTCTTAAAAGTATAGTACTCTAGTACTGACTTCAAAAAGATTTAAATGTTTTCTTGGGACTTCCATTTTGTGCAACATTTAAGGTACACACTGTTTCCTCTAAGATTATTTAAAATATATCCAACATTTGCCAAAGCTGATAAATTGATAGTAACAAGTGATATTTTGAAGCCCATAGTATAAAATGTGACACCAGTTAAGTAATTTACATATTTCTAGGAATAAACCATCCACATATCCTACATGAAGTATAATGATTTTTAAGATAGGAGATTGCCTGGTAATATCTAATTTTCATTCACTCAAATTTTATTTATATATTGAATTATATGCAATAACCCTCCCCCAATGTTAACTCAAGATACAGAATCAGAAAGACCTGATCCCAGAAGAAAGTCTGTTTCTTTAAAGATTTGCCTACAGCCACAAATACCTTCTATTTGCCCCAAGCGCAATAAATGTGCTCTTTATCCATAGATAACTCCAGCTATCTAAGTGTTAAGTTTGCCAGAACCAGATACTGATCTTCAGAGCCATACACAGAAAGAAGCTGTCTTTTCCTCTCCATTACATTTTAAAACCTTCTAATTCTAAAGAAGTTAATAAATAAAACCCAAAACTAAATGTAATCTAAAATGGTTTCTAAAATCTCCATCTCGGAAAATTTTAAGCTCAACTGCTGGCACCTAACAGAATTTTATACCTTTCAACCGTTAAGTGTGTATATTTAAATGTATTTATTGTATTAACGATTTAATGTTTATGACTATTTTCACATTTTATGATGTTTACCAGGGCCCAATCTAGACTATACCATGAAGGAGGCAGTCTTTACCAATCTATCTCCCTGCAGACACCACTGCTTCAAGGTCACATGCAGACACATAGTGCCCTCTTGTGTTCTTTCCCCTGCATCCTGGGACAGTTCAAATAAAGTTAATCTCTCAAGCGTCCTCAGCCATCCTGATTTTCTGTTTCATGTCCCATACCTCTCCTGTTTGTTCTCCATTAGGAAAATTATTAACTAATCTGAGTTGATCCTCCTAGGAAGTACATTTGCAAGTTAATACCTTTCCCAAAGAGAACAACTATGGTGAAAATGTGGAGCCACATAAAATATTTATGAAATCAAGCCTTTTCTTACTTTATTCTATTTACTAAATGAAATAACATGAAATTTATATTTAAATTCATTTAAATAGTTTTACATCTTCGCACAAGTCCTGAGACTTGTGGAGAGGTGAGTGTTTTTTGCTAGAAGGTAACTTTTCTATATTTGGGCAACAACTATACATGTACCCTACTGAAACATAACTTCTTATTCTACATATTTAGGAGTACTACATGTTGGATTATAACCTCCAAAACATAATCTTACATGGAAAAAGCTAAATATAATGCCAGCCACATGATGGATTTTAATGTTTATGGAAAACAGCTCTTCTGCCCCAAAGGTCAAATGACCTATATACTAGGTCGATCAAGATTTGAGGGGACTTTACTCCCATTGTTTCCAGGCTAGGTACACCCTGATAATTGAGACTGTCATAGTTCCTATGTAATACACACATACACAAATATAAACACACATATACATGCTCTACCAACAGTAAAAGCAAAGAAAACAAGCATCTTATCCTCATTAAAGTAAGAACACTCACAGCAGAAGTGCTATTAGTTACTCAATTTTCACTTAGCTAAAAAAATTAGGATCTGAAGCAACTACTTATTAATGAGTTTATTCACAATTTCATTTATAGTGGCCGTATACACATTTTCTTATTAAATACAACTGGATTCTACTTAAAATAATTACTTCTGCTCTGTCTTCCAGAGTGAAGACAAGAAGGGCATAAAAACCTATGTCAACAGGCCATGTCACCTTTTTCTTTTTTGTTTTTTTTTAATACAATTGAAAATCTTTCAAATGGTTTTGTTTGTGGTCATTAAAGAGTTAAACAGCATAATCTCCTTTTTCCATGCCTGGGTTCAAGTAGAAATAAAGTTAGTGAATCATGATTCAAAAGTGTGGTTAGAAATTAATTTGTAAACAATAATTGTATTCAAACAATATAGGGCATGACATATTAGTTTGTAAAATGGCAAAACTAAACATTAATCCATATAACAATGAAAGCAAATGGTATAATAAACCATTTAATGGTTCTTTATTGTTTTCTGAAGAAAAGGATTTTTATTCCCCCACAATCCTGTATGTAAGTACATTTCACATCCGTATATTCCGAGAGGACTTCTCTGTATCAATGGCAGAATTTTCTTTGACACTTTGTCTCTTAAATGACACCAAAACGTTACATATACCAGTCAATTACACTTTGTTGCAAAAATCATTTCAATAGTTCATGCTTCTCTAATGTGCAGCTTCTATGAAATTACCTGCAAGATCACAGTCTAAATTTTATTTCCATAAAGAACTATCACTGCATGACCACTCTGCTATGCACAATATACTAGGATATTAATTATATTAAATTTGATTTAAATAAGTCATATTTATATTATTTCATCATAGTAGCTTTTAGAGGTACACATCAAAATCTGCCAGACTGTAACAACATTTTCACATATAGAACTTAAAAAAGGATGTCTTTCTCTTTACTTAATGTTTAAGAAATGAATGGTCAAAGATTTTTAAATTTTTCCTTGGTTTTAAGTGGTTTCTTCAAAAGGCATAACCTCCAAATGCCAATGCACAGTTAAAGATTTTGGTATTCTTGAAGTTACTAAAATCTTGACAGACACCTTTTCTTAAGAATAATAAAGTATGATACAGATACATAATAAGCCTTAAAAAAATACCTGAGAGGTCTTGCCTGGGGATTGCCTGCTTCTACATATGGATGTAAATAATCCTTTATGTAGAGATCAGCAGCACTATTAGAATGGGTGCAAATGAGAATCCTGCTGAAATAAATGGTGCAAATAAAAAGAATGATAAAACACAAAACTATTCAAGCAGTATAATACCAAAAAAAAAAGCAGTGGCCATCTTAATATTACACATTTCCCTCAACCTACTCAGTTATCTCTAACATTTTTCAATGCTTTTAGGAAACTATATTACTCTTTAAGCTGTAAAGAAAATAAATTCCCCCAAAACTATTTTTAAATTATCATATAAAAATCTTTTTTTAAACCCACTTTTTGGCTCTAACATATATTACAATTTCTTAGCAGACTTGGAATTTTCATGGCTATTTAAGAACTATCATTCTCTACGTGGCCAATTTTTAAAAATAGTTTTTAGAAGAATTCAAATTTTAGTGCTGTAGAGTTTTGGTGTGGGTCTTTTTTTAAGATTTCTCTGAGCTAGATGAAAGTTGTCTTGCTAGCTCTCACACAGCAAGGAATGGAGGCCATGCCCTGCTAATATATCCGAGCACACATACCACCATCTCACCTCGTCTCCTGCTGCTGGAGTATGTGCTTGACAGCCTGAGCTAGAGTGAATGTTTTTCCTGTCCCATAGGGTCCGATGATGAGAACGGGAGGCAGCTGTATTGCAAGTGGAGTTGTAATTGCCAAAACAGCCTCTTTCTGTTTTGCATTTAGCCGAGGATCCAACTGTTCATCCCACTGTCTATAGGAAATAAAATTTTAAGTTATTTTAAACACATGCATCTTATTAATAAACAAAACATGACACAAGAGTATCCTGAATTTCAATGAACCATTAAAAAACTAAAAAAGCCTTTAAAAAATACCTGTTATAAACACAAATGGCTTATTTGAAAACTATTTGTAGGAAATTATCCAACAGAGTTGGGTTTTGCCATGTTGACCAAAACTCACTTTACTGATCTTATCCTATTGCAAATGCAAAAATATTTTGACAACTAACCTAAAGAAATCATACCCTTCTATTCTAGTTGCAGCCAGTCTATAAATAGTAATGGCAATGTCTCAAAAATGTATTTCTCTCTGTTACATACAAGCACTAGAAAACTTGTTTTCTGGTATTAATAAAGTATTAAGTTCTTTGCATAACAAATGGAATGCAAAAAGTAAACTAACTGAATTTCAAATTCCAGTCCACTGAAAGATCTTTTACGTAAAGGTTAAAACACGTCCCTGGTAAAGAGACATCAAGCTTCCACAAAGTTTTAATTCAGAAAATAGCAGTTTTTCCTAAAAAGGTATCAAAGGCCAAACTCTAGACATGTTCGCTAATATCTTCACACACATAAATAATATACATATACATATTTTTCTGAGTAGAGAACACCTGTCATGGCAGCACAAATGGCTGCTGTAATGAGATCTCTGTGACGAGTGTCCTTTCTATGACTTGGCTAAGTTTCGAAGATTTAAATGGACAGCAGTTGCTGAAAGGGATCAAACCAAGTGGAGAATTAATAGCATTCTTTCTCACAACTAAATGTTGCTGCAACTATGGTAAAAATGATAGGGATGTGAACCAAAATAGGAAGGGTGTGTAAAGAGACTCTTAGAAAATTTGCATGAAAGTGTTCATGAAATAATCCTGAAATACAAGGTCACAGTTTAGACAGGAAAATTCCCTCTCTGAGAGGCTATACACTACTTAAATCAGAGGCTATTTATAGAAAATACTCTTAACATGTTCAGTTTTTTTAAATGATAACTAATGCTATATGACAGATAACTCCTAACAAGTCTCCTAAATAATGTAAAACCTTAGAAAACAAACTCTGACCATATACACATGCTATTACCTATTCTTATAAAATTAAGAAAGTTTTAAGTACAAAACAAAAGAACTCTCACTAGTGGTACTAGATTTCCTAGTAACTGTTCACTAAAGCTCAAGCTTTTTACTCCAAAGAATCCTTCAGCATAACCATGCTATTTACTCACAATTCTGCCAGTACCTAACAATGTTCCATATGCTATAAATGAGGAAACTGCTGTAGGTGATTGCTAAGTCCAGATCAAAGACATGAGGCAGACACTGAAATAATTACCCCAAAACCATTCATGGCACTTTCTCTGCCTTTAGCAACTACTAGTGCACCTAGACAGTTCTAATAACCCAATTACCAATCTTCTACTGCTGGAAAACCAATTCTGGTCAATGAGATATAGAAAGAAGTCCCTCAGAAGGTCTTCTATAACCAATAAAACAAAAACACAGCCTGGCTAGAACGTGGCCCTTCTTGCTTCTTCACCCGGCTGGCACGAACTCGTGGTAAATATAGCTGCCGCAGCCAAGTTATAATTATGAGGTAACAGGCAGCAAGAAGAAAACCAACATGGTCTATGGCAGGGAACAGGGAAGACTTTGGTCCTTGCTGGCACTCTGAGTAGCTGCCCCAGCCCTGTACCACCTACCTCGAGGCTTCTGTCTGCTTGTTTAAGCCACAGTTAGTCCAGTAAACTACTATTTGCATCCACACCCAACCACTATGATTCTGATACCTGACCCCAGTGGTTCCTTTTTCTGTACATGGAGATGATACTTTTAGCAGATGGTTATTTTAAAGATCAAATGAGATTATCATAAGCAAGCTGTTTAGAAATATAATTGAGCAGTAAATGCTCAATTAATGTTAGCTTCTATTACTATAATATTTTCTGAGGATATCAGAAAAATTAGACATAACTTGACCAACGCACATTTCCAAAACACATACAAAAAAGTTTTAAAAGCCTGTTCTACCAACTATTTCAGTGTAAACAAATGCTCAGAGCAGATCAGGAACTTCATGAATGTCAGTCTCTCTATAGTTTCTGGTCATAAATAATGAACATTTATAGAAAGCCAATGAGCAAAACAAGCTGTCTTTTTTTATTGTCCCACCTGCTCAATGAAGGGAAGATTTTAAATAATCTACATGCTGGTAAGAGTCATCTCTGATTTTGATAATTTAACACAATATAAAGTCTCTTCAAGTTTATTCTGAATAAAATACAAGTTATTTTATTCCCTAAACCAAATTAATTCAAAATCCTTTTTTTCCCTGGTCTAATACATTACTATAATTAATTTGTAGGCTATATGCTCAAGATTCTTAACTTCTCAATTTTATTTATCTATATTACACTTATTCCAGAAAGATTTTAAATGGTTAATGGCTTCTCAGGATGTTCCTAGATCCAGATATCTTTTAATTACTATTTGAATTAAAGTGGTATAGAATCTCTTCCTGCTTGAAAGGTTTTTGCTATTTAATATTTCTTAGTGACTTTAGCAGCTAACACTTGTAGTATTTGAATATGTTTTTATATACAATATAATTTTCAGAAGCAAACATATCAAATAAATGCATAAAAGTTTACTTGTAGGAAAACAAGATGGTGGGTGGCATGAGAAGAGGCAGAAACTACCTCCCTAAACCACATATAACACAAAAATACAGCAAATACAACTAATCCTTAAAGAGCAACTGGAAAGCACACTGCAACAGACAGCCTACATCTGGAGAAAAGAGCTGCCCCTCGCAAACCAGCTGCCCCTGCCATTGCGCCATGCAAGCCAGAAAAGGGTAAAGTAGCAAAGCCACGATCTGGTGGGACCCAAGCCCTTTCCCAACCCCAGCTCACTAGCGGGAGAAAGAGAAACAGAGCAGGGAGGAAGCAGGAGCCCAGGACTGCTAAATAGCCAGCCCTGGAGATCTGCTCCAGCACGAACCCACATGACATGGTGCTCTGGAGATTAGTGGAGTTGGAAAGCAAAGGCAGGTGGAATACTAAGAGAGACTGAGATTCCAGCCACTTGTAGAGAACAGGGACTCACAACCGGCTGCTCACAGACAAAAGAAAGGCAGGCACTTTGAAAGACTTTCCAACAGCGAGACGGTTGCTAAAGGGGCAAGGATTACACAGAGCTTGCTGCTCAGGAGAAAGAACAGGTGGACAAAATTGTCCCAGAACACTCTGCCCAGGAGGTTGGGAACTTTTGGGAGCTTCACATGCTACATCCCTCTGGCTGGCAATGCATCACCAAGGCCCCCCTGCTACAATACACAGCCTACCTCTCCTTCCTCCCAGCTAGTACTGATTCGCAAACCAGCTGCCCCTGCCATTGCGCCATGCAAGCCAGAGGGTAGCCCCAGCTACAGCAGCTACAAGGGCATGACACAGAGGCTTCTCCCTGTGGACTTGGTCCACTGGCCCAAGCAGTGGGTGCAGGTACTGCAGCTGAGAAGCAGGAAGGGGCTTTTTCCTCCTGGCAGGCACTAGTCTGCTCACCTGCTGCCCTCACCATCAGACCAGGACAGCTGGAGGGCAGCATATCAACAGCAGCTCCAAAGGCAGAATGCAGAGGCTCCTCCTTGCACACTTGGCCCACTGGCCCTGGCAGTGGAAGCAGGCACTGCTGCCTGGAAGAAGGCATTGCAGCCGGGAATCAGGAAAGGGTTCTTTCCTCCCAGCAGGCACCAGTGCTGTACACCTGCAACCCCCACCATCACTCCAAGCCTGGGCAGCTCCAGAGAGCAAAGCTTCTGGCACAAGAGGGCGCCACCAACACAAGTTATTTTTCCACACTAATTATTACAAATATAAAATAGCAAAAGGATCTGGTACAAACCAAAATCCCTTAAACACCAGAAAGAGGGCTAAGTGAAACTGAAATCAACAATCTTCCTGATAACAATTTCAAAACAAAAGTCATAAACCTGACACAGAGCTACAGTATTCAAGACCTCAGAGAGGACCTCAAGAAAGAGATAAAAACTTAGAAAAACTTAAAATGGAGGGACTTAAAAGCAGATTAGATATAGTGGCTGAAATGGTAAATAAAACAGAAATTAGAGAACAGGACTACAAAGAAGCTGAGGCACAGAGAGAAAAAGGATCTATAGGAAACAAAAAATATTAAGAGAACTGTGTGACCAATCCAAATGAAACAATATTTGCATTATAGGGGTACCAGAAGAAGAAGAGAAAGAAAAAGGGATAGAAAGTCCCTTTGAGGAAATAATTGCTGAAAATTTCCCCAATCTGGGGAAGGAGACAGTCTCTCAGCCCATGGAGGTGCACAGATCTCCCAACACAGGGACCCAAGGAAGATAACAACAAGACAAATAATAATAAAAATGGCAAAGATCAAGGACAAGGACAGAGTATTAAAAGTAGCCAGAGAGAAAAAAGATCACATACAAAGGAAAACCCATCAGGCTCTCATCAGACTTCTCAAAAGAAATCTTATAGGCCAGAAGGGAGTGGCATGATATATTTAATGCAATGAAAGATAAAGGTCTCAAACCAAGAATACTCTACCTGGCAAGATTATTATTTCAATTCGAAGGAGGGAGTAAACAATTTCCAGATAAGCAAAAGTCGAGAGAATTTACTTCCCACAAATTGTCTCTACAGTGTATTTTGGAGGGACTGCTATAGATACAAGTGTTCCTAAAGCTAGATAGCTGTCACCAGAGGAAATGAAACCACAGTAAAGAAAGTAGAACAATTAATCACTAAGCAGATGCAAAATTAAATCAACTACCCTGCCAAGTCAGTCAAGGGAGAGACAAAGAGTACAGAATATGATACCTAATATACAAAGAATGGAGGAGGAAGAAAAAAGAGGGGAAAAAAAACCCTTTAGATGGTGTTTGTAAGACTATACTAGGTGAGTTAAGTTAGACTCTTAGATAG